GGAACTAATGCGGAAAAAGAAAAATGGCGGCTATGACGTCATCATAACTTGTTTTGTTGACCGCAGCGTGGTGACGTGAGGGAAGTAGGGGGTCACCTCAAGGTCACCTCTGAGGGTGTCTATAGCGCTATGGAGTCGGTCGCTCATGCAAACATCAAAACTAATTTAAAATACTTTCCACACTATATTCGCTGTTGATATCTTGCAGATGATATACGAATATTCACGAGAATCGACCCCGCAGGCTATCTCGGCCCCGAAATTTTGTGTCAGTACCCCTTTAAGGCTTTCATGTTTGACAGCTGGCGCACTCTGTCTGAGTACTTGTAACGGCAATGCCGCTAACTTATGTTGTGCTCTAAATGTTGCAAAATTCACGGCTTACTTGTTCTTGTTCTTGACACATGCGCATTACATCTAGCGAGAGAATTTACAGTGTGTGCCTCAACGTGAGGGACAAATCAGTAATTGTTTCTTGCAGGCCGAGTCTATCTATATATTTGATTGCATTAACTAGAAGAAAAAGAAAGGAGTGGATGTATTTCGCTTGATTGGAATCTCTAAGAATGTGTACAAGATTCGTTCCTGGCCACAGCAAGCAACACAACAGTATATTAAATAAGTGTAACATATGGGCTGTCCAGTGCTGCGTCCTGGCTTTATACCCTTAGTCCTTTCAGTTAAGAAACGCTGGCGTGTTTGGAATTTTTATTCTTATTTCTCTCTTCTGCTTTGAGCGCCACTCGGCCAATGCATTGCAGAAATTTGAGGACGGTGTGTAGACCGCACGCCAACAACAGAACCTACAAAGTGTTGCACAAGCATGCGCTGGGAAAACAGCTGTACAAATAGAGCTCAAGCACGCATGTTCCTTGTGTAACTGCTCTCTGCACCAGTATAGATCTGTGTGTCATAGCATAGACGCGTGCACTATAGTATAGATGAGCACTACATTGCTTGCAACAATGTCTGTGGTGTGAGAGCAGCCCAAGAGCCGCAAAAACAACGTTGTGACACTCATGAAATGCAGGACATGCAACACCACCTTTGAAAATCACCTCTTTGATAAGTGAACACTGGTTGCTTGGGGTGTGTTGCCTAGTGGCACTTCAGCTGAGATGGAAGAGAAGGCAGTGAAAATGTTATAATTTGGCTGTATAGCAGGTAGGGAAAGCCTTCACTATAAAATTTGCTAAGTAACTCAAAAGTAGTTGTGGATTACATTTGAGCTCAAAATTAGTTTTGAATTGTTTAGTCTTTTCAGTTTTTGCATTGTTGGCTTTTCTCTATATGTACTTTTTTCTTAAGAACCACGAATTGTAGAGGATTGCAATTTTCTACAAAGGTAGCAATCAACACTCCGCAGAAGGAGACTAAAATTGTGGCCATACAACAAAAACTAGGTTTATCATTTTTCTACCTTTGTCAGTGTATGCAAATTGCCACTTTTGAATGTTTCTTTTTCTAACTGCAAAAAAAAAATGAATGCACTCTGTTTCTAGTTATGTAAATGCCACAAATCAAGGCATGTGAGAATATTTATTTGGTTATGCCCTCTAATTCTTGAAAAAATTGTAGAGAAACCTCCAGAAAAGTTGTTTCGAGGAAAAATTGCGGAGACCGTTTCCAGGTACATTCGCATTTCCTGTCAGCGTGTCGAAGAAGAGGACCGAAAATTGATTTTGAAACGGCTAATACCTAAGTGGAGTACGCTTTTTCAAAACTCTCTCAAAATTGAATTTTTTTTACGAAACGAAGTCTCACTGCACCTTAAATCATCATGTCTGACACAACCATGGTGTCACCTGCAGAAGATTAACCCATTAGCATCCAGCATGCATTACAAAGCACACAATTTTTGGGAATAGAAAGTTCGCAATCCAATATTGTGATTTTACTGATTAGCTTTTTTAAAACCAGAGACTGCAGTAAGGTACTCCTAGTCTCATGCATTGACTAGGGTGTATTCATTACAGCCTAACGTAGCACATTTATGGCGTAAATGCGCTATATTTACGCCGTGATGAATTAGCTTCAAGTCGCTCGCTCGGCTCTCTGTTTTCCTTGACTAGGGTCTACGTTTTCTATGCTACAAGTTGTTAAACTTTCTGAAAACAAGCGCACATCAAGTGCACATGATGCATACTACCTTTTCTAATTCGATATGAAAATTTTGCACTTTATATATTTAAAAAAATGATTGGGTTCAGAAGGAACAATATAGTTGCTAAAAAGCGCAAGAATCTGCTAAATTGCATAGCTCTGCTCTGAAGAGTAATCAAATGTTGGTGTACCTTTCGTAGTACACTGGGCCTTTGTGGGTGCTTGCATGAGCATTTTGTTGTAGATTGTCTCGAAGATTAAACCAGGCATTTTCATGGAAAAAAATGCTGCTTTGATGGTGGTCAGAGGCATGCGATGCTGCGACAGGTATACGAAATCCTGTTTCTGTTATTGTGACTCCTGACTCCAACATGTAAACTGATGCTGAGAGGGGATAGGCTAGAGTACATACGAATAGATGCCTTCTTCCGTGTGATAAACAAGATGGAATGAAAAAAAAAAGTGGCCACATATTTGTGTGCTTTGCTGCAAATATCCTCAAAGGATGATAGTCTTCTGCCGGTCCGTCTTTTTCGTGCATAGTCTGGTATTTTCAGCGCAGCGTGAAAGACAATAGGCTTTTCAAAATGGTGTATCTATGTATTTTTTTAGTAAAGGAACGCACCACCTAATACTTGCGTATTGGTGCTGCACCTCAGACATGCGTAACATCTGCTTTTCGATTAACAATGTTCACAAGTATGAACGCAGCCACCAAGTCAAGATGACCGAGCGTTCAGCAGGTGTCTGAACTTTGGCTCGGTGGCTGAATCGTGTGGCAGACAGAAAGACAGATGGAGCAGAATTTCTGCATTCAAGTATCCCAAGAAAGGCTGTAATCTTTAAGACACGAAGAACATAGCTTCCATTTTGATCGAGAAAACGAGTATCAGCTATAGAGAAATTTTACCGGACTTACGTTATGAAAATGCGGTGGCGCTGTCTTGGTAGACAAAAGACACTCTGCCTACCGCAGTTTCTGCTGGGTTTTCAATGGTGCATGTGTGTTCTCAGTCAAGCAACGAGAGAAAAAAAAAGAAAGAACGGTATGCCGACGAGTTGCGTCGCGGTTGGATGAGAGTCGCGTCTCACAACTTAGTTTTGTTTGTTGGCACACATTGCAGCCCTCAGCACTTATGGCTTTCAGAACGCTTATGGCGTCTCACAACGTGGTTTTGTTGGCGCACATCGCAACCCTCAGCGCTTATGGCGGAAGTTACGTGCGGACGTCACTATAATTTTACCCATAATGTCGACATCGGCTTACCTGTGTTTACAAACATGGAATGGGTCTATAGCGTAGTTGCTATGGCAATGAACTACAACATAGTCGAGCCACTATGCCAAAGGAACAGGTTGTCGTCTACTCCAAAGAAAAAATTTGTGCCACCACCAAACCTTATTGGCAGCTACAGCAATGGCATGTGAGAGGTCCACCTCCGTGATCGAAGTGTGTATAACCACGGTATTTTCATCCACTGCAAAAAGTGGTGGAGGCCCCCCATTCACAGAGATGGCCGAAATCGCTATCCTCAACTCATAGCGGATCTGCTAACCTCCTGGAGGTTAGCAGCCCCACTATAGTGTTGACTGCTGCCAATCATGCTCATAATAGCAAGACGCTACCGGCTCGTTGTTGTACCTAACAGATCTATCAAGTGGTTGCCAAAGCCCATTGTGCCTGCTATTATCCTCTGTACATATGGATATTTGCACAAGAAGCTTGACGGACAGCCGAGGTGTACTGCGAAAAGTGTGGCCCTTTACCTTGCGAGAAGCGTTGATGCTTCAACAAGTTCTATATTCCAAGATAATTTTGGTATTAGTTTGGTGAGGGCCTAGCGTGCTTATTACTTTAGTAACCGAGCTCTACTGGCCCATTGCTATGGCAAGAGCCCGGCATACTTTCTAAATCACTAAAATTTAATACTCTGAAGAGTATTATATCTACTCAAACAATTAATGCAACTCGATGAAAATTTGCAGCTGTAGTTGACTGCTGTAGTTCGAAAAATATGCTAACTTTCATAAAATTGTACCAATAGTTCTTGTATGGGCCTTAACGGGTTAACTTAGCCACGTCGTGCACAAGTCATTTGTAGGAGGAGATGACCCCTGTCTTAGGTTACTATGTTGTTTTGAGAAGACGGGCTTCAAATGCACAGCGTTGATGTGCATTGCCAAATCGGTTGTATTAGAGTGTGGCATAAGTAGTTGTATGCAGGACTTGTGAGGGCTTGAGGTCTTTTTAGTGAATGGGTTGAAAGATACTTTTTAGAGAACAGCTAAATTTCTGCAAGGACATGTTTGCATAAAAATTTTTTTTCTTGTGGGACTACGTACCATGGTATAAACCAGGTGCATTTGATTATATGCGCAAGCAATGCATCTTCTATAACATTTTTTTCTGTTTATTTTCCCCATTGTGGCGTGGGAATGCATATTTTTCATGTTATTACAGTTTATTTTCCCCGATATTCTTCGTATTTCTTCATTTGTAACTGTGTTTTTATGCACACTTTTGCGTCTTTTGTGCGTCCTTCTTTTTGCAGTTGTTTGTTCTTCAGTGTCCTTCTTTCTCACTGTGTCACATGGGAACACCCACGTGCACATCGATCTATGAATGTGTCAATAAATGAATATAATAGTAAATAATAATAATACATTCACCTGTCATTAAATGTTGATCGTTACTGCTCCATCTCGCAATGGTTGGAGCGTGTCCTTCCCTGGCATGGCACTTGGTCGCACAGCGTTTTCTTTGCAGCTTACAAAAAAAAAAAAAAAAAGGTCGTGAGAATTATCTCAATCTGAGTTTTTTTGTTCTGTCGATCTTTTTTTGTGTGTAACTCCTGCTGCATTGTGTTCCTTTTTCCTCCCTGCTGCAACTTCTCCAGATGAAGTCGAGAAATTTTGAGAGAGTTGAAAAGGTAGGTGGTCAACGCTTTTTTATAGCATTGCATCACTTTTATGGGTTATTAATTGAAGGGACACTGAAGAGGAACAATGACTTGGTTTAGATTGACAAACTGCACTCTGAGAACTCTAATGCCATATGTTTCAGAGTCATAAGTTCATTATTAGGAGAGAAAAATTGAGGTAGAAGATTCATTTTTAAATTTGACATGCTAAACTGTCTGTGTGTGACTGTAACATATTGCAAAATGTATTTTTCGTATTTTCCCGAGATTGGCTTGATAAGATTTTTGAAACTTGTTACGCTAGGTCTATGGGACCCGCAGATGACAATGTAATTTATTTTTATCGTTTAAAAGCTAAGCATGGACCCAGTATATGCCTCCAAAGTTTACTACGTAACATTGTTTGGTGCAGGAATGTAACGGTAGCAGTCTCCTCCCACATTTTCTTTTCGCGAGCCGTCTCACTTGCTAAGCTTAATGTCATAGTAACAGTTTTCGGGATTGTGAAATTGTGATTTACTAATACGCGAGATATCGTTACGCTCTTTAGTGTCCCTTTAATGGGAGGGCAGCAGAGAATAAAGTGGTGGCATAGTTGGTTCGTGATCACGGAAGCCAATTTTAAGTGAGGCGGGCTGCAGGGGTGTAGCCAGAGGGTGACACACTGGGCCTGTGACCTTCCTTATCCCCGAAATCTTTTTTTCACCGTGACATGGAAAGGAAAAAAATTACCATTTAAAGTGGGCACCCTCCCAGTAATCAAAGAAGTGTCCCCCCACCCAAAAAAAAATTTCTGGCTACGCACCTGGGAGGGTGCGATACCGCCCAGAGGTGTTACCAAGGCATTGTGAACATTCACCCATTTTGCCCCTTCCCCTCTATGAAAAATCCTACACACGTCTGTAGTTGTAATGGGCTAAAGTAAAGTTACTAATATTATTGAGATTTTGCAAGTGTACAATCTTCTTTTTTTTTAGACAAAGTATTCGAAAAAGAGATGGTTAAAACATACTGAGAAAAAAGCAGGCTTATCTGATTCACCTAAAACTGTTAAAAAAAAATGGCCACTAAGAAGGCACAGCACGGGCACCATTTTTCTAACTCAATCATGCGACAATATCATAGCATGGCTCTCTTGAATGTAAGTTTTATTGAATCACTGAAATTAGTGGATGCCTGTGGCTCTCACAGCTATGTAAATTCTGTTAGTGCATGCACAGCATTCCTTTTTCGGGGGGGGAGGGGGGGACGTTCTTTGCAATACAGGTCTCCCTCATAGGCATGCCTACGAATGTTAAACTGCTTTGTTCAATAACAGTCTCGACATCTAATCTAGTTGTGCAGAAAATGTATTTCCCAGCTCTAGCAGCCAGCTATCTTGTCTTAACAGCTTCACTTGCAACATTAAAGGGCTCCTGCAACACCGCAATGAGCGTGGTCAGTAAACTGCTGCCGGTCTGTAGTCGAGGCATCCGAGAACACACGAGGCAATCGTTATAGTGCAGGACGTGGTCTAAAATTCCTACAATTTATTCTCAGTCTACTGAAAATCTTTGTCTTTTCTCAAATGGTGCCATGTAACCAAATTTCTGCACCATGTGCCCGTGTCCAGAGTGGCTGGCTGATGTGACCGTGGCCTCGGTCGGATGCTGCCACGAGCCCATGCACGCTCAACGTCTCAGTGTGAAAGTAAGCTGTGTGTTCGAACAAAAACACGCTGATGAAGGGATGCATCGTCTTGCCCCTTGTCATCCCTCTCTGTGCTTAGCTGTCAGCGCGCTCGCTGGCACAAAAGGAGAGAGAAAACGCTGGAAGCTTGTGACAATTACATGTAACTCGGCTTGTACTTGCCAAATTCTAATAATTTTTTTTGGCTTGTGATTTGTGAAGCATCATGCGCTAATAGTGAGACTATTCTGTTGAAGCTTGGAAAGGTGTTGCAAGGCCCATTTAACTACTGGCTCCGTGCTAGTGTGTTCCACTGGAAATGTAACGGGTAGAATCAAACTGTGGTGACTCAACAGTTTCTCGTCAACAGCTGTTCCAGCGTTGCCTCATGAAGGTCCTCAACATCGACTTGTGGAGGTGCTACCTGACTTACGTCAAGGAGACCAAGGGATCTTTGCCAACCTACAGGTACGCATAGGCCTTAGAACCAACCCTACTGTCGTGATAATTGCGCGTTAGTCTTTTGTTTGCCCTCAAACCTTGCATGATGAGACGCTGTACGACAGGGATTGTCGCTGAAGTGAACACTTGTCCTTTTGTTCAAAGTATGACTTCAGTGGCATCCCTTGTTTGATGACGTCTTGTCACTCTAAGCCTCTTGCGAATTTCTCGTGAATGTTGTATGGCAAGGCACTGCACGTGACATTGCATACTTTCTTGCTCTTCTCGTGTCGACGACAGGGAGAAGATGGCGCAGGCATACGACTTTGCGCTCGACAAGATGGGCATGGACATTCTCTCGTACCCCATCTGGAATGACTACATCAATTTCCTCAAGAGCGTGTAAGCTTAGTCCATCACAGGAGCCAGGGGGCAGCACTGTTGTCTCTCTCCTTTGCGTGTCTTGTGTCGCATGAATATATCTATGGTCTGCTTTTACGTCCGTTCTTTCATGTTGAGTCTACCTGCCATAGTGGCCTAGTGGCTAAGCTGTTGCACCGCTAAGCATGAGAATTGTAATTTGATGCCCAATCATAGTAAGGGCATTTTAATCGTACTAAAATGGGAAAATGTCTATGTATTTAGATTTAGGAGCATATTGAAGGACCACAGGTGGTCACAGTTGAGCTGGAGTCTCCTATTAACACATTCCGAAAAATTATATCTTTGTTTATGCATGTGAACGCCCAGAGTTGAATTTGTATTTTTATTTAGAGTGCCCTCAGGCTTGCTTGTAAACTAGAGCATGCAGTTATGAGAAGCAATCTAAAATATCAGAGTGCTTTAAACTGTTGACACAACGACACGGTTGATGAGATTGTGCTGGATATACAGGTGTCAGAGCTGGTGACACTGTATCGGGACAGTGCACATGGCTAATTGATAGGAAACTGTTTTTGCTATAGTCACCATGGCTGGCTGTCTCGTGCTCGCACATCTCGGGATGGGACACTTGTAAACATTAGCGCATATATTAATGTTAATGGCACGAAGTTTTGGGTTTTTTCTTTATGTTGTAGCAGTTCTTTGACTCACCAATACCATGTACTTCATGTACTTTTTCTTTTCTTTCCATGGTGCAATGTGTGTTGCTTCGAAAATTGCGCCACGAACTTGCACCGACCAGTTCACACTGTTGCTCTTATCCAGAAAGAAAAGAAGTTACATTATGCCTAGGCTATTTGTACAATGGTATTTGTGCTTGCACTACTGTTTTTTTGGTTGAATAATTTATTTGCATCTCAATAAATGTCTCTATTGCAAGTCAGCCCTCGTCTCACGATTTGTATTCTGTCACTGTTATTCATGCAGCATTTTCTAGAAATAGGCCAGCCCTGCTAATCGCACATCCTTGAATTTCTTGTCACATCGTGTGTTGAGATGACAGAGATAATTTACATCAAGTTGTAGCATGAAATCGAGGCCCACGTTTGCCGTTGCCCAGTACCATTCCTTTGACGCTGTCCATCCGATGTTAACGATTTGTTGTCTCAAGTTTTGCGTCAGTGGCATAGTGAGCATTTGTGGCGAAAAATACGTGCTGTCGTTGTCGTCTCGTTGTGCAGGGAGGCGGTGGGGTCGTACGCAGAGAATCAGCGCATAACAGCCGTACGCAAGGTCTACCAGCGAGGCATCGTCAATCCCATGATGAACATCGAGCAACTGTGGAAAGAGTACATCAACTACGAACAGGTACGGTGTAGCGTTTGCGATGCCCCGCATGCGGGCAAGGCCAATGTCACTTATGCATCTCTAAACAGGTTTAGCGTAATATGTTTAAGGGCTCGTTTTAACGCTCTCACGTTTCTTAGAGGGTTAAGGTTTCAACTATAACTGCATTTTGGGTTGATGCATTCTTTGATCAGTTGTCACACCACTCTCATCTCTGCATAGCCACTGTGTCTGCAAAATTATGCAGTTAGTTTACGCTATGCAGTGGCCAACTTAAGAATGTACGTTGTGTTACGTCTCTCTGAACCCTTAGGTGACATGTCTAAGCATTAGGCCTTTTTAATTTCCACATTCTTTTGATGTGCAAAAAAATTTAGAATTAAAGCTTTTTTCGCACGATCATATGTCGTAATAATAAAGGGTTTTTGAAGTGCCAGTGGCTTTAATCTCCTTTAGGTTAACCTTAGTGTAAAACTGACAAAAAAAAAAAGAAATCTTCGTGTTATGGACCGTCTTCGTGGCGTGGACAGTCTTTAAGCAGAACCACAAGTGATCAGGGAAATTTGTTTCAGTTATCTGTAATGTTCACTGAGCAACGAGGTGGAAAGGTACATAAAGTGCTCTTTTTGGTGTGTTTGTCTAAAGAGGCAGTTTCTCTACTGCATAAAAGAAGACAATTGTGTAGTGTGCGCAAGCAGGCTGAATCGCAAAACGAACTATACTGGTAAGTTAGCCACTGACTCGTATTCCTGACAGCAGCTAATTGCACGTGATGAACAGAGGAACATATGATTGTGTTTGTGCTTTTTATTTTTTATGCCTGACTTTCTTCGTGCTGCTATTGGCTCGTGTTAACAAAACTGGGCATCATCAATTAGTGCCACATTCTCGGGGTATCTACATTCCTAGCAGATTTTGCCGATTCATGGTGTAACTGTGCGAAAAATGAGTAGAAACACAGAAGAAGAGGGGAGCACAAGCAAGTGCAGGGCATCAACTGAAGCTTTATTAAAAAAAAACAAGCCAAGTATAAAGGATAAGAAAGATACGAGACAGCAGAAATGGTAGAAGAGATAATGGCGTGGAGGACCTAGATCAACAAAACTGATGACGCATCACCCATGGCACGCCCATCACACAAGGCTGAGATAACTTGAAGGAACCCCCGATAGTGAAAGCTTTGTTAGCAAGTTTTTTACAGCAATTTGTAGCCTTGCTTCTTCTTATGCCGAAATTGAATCGTAAATGCTCTAATATATCGTATAATTGATGCTAGTGGCATTAATTCAAAATGATTTTACATCAGTACTATGTGCGTTCAAGCTTTGGTGACACTGAGAAGCGCTGTTTTCAAATAGGGGGACTCGCAAGCAGTGAATAAACAAACAATGTGGGTACTTCGAACGTGTTCTCATCAGAAAAAAAAAAAAAAAGAAAAGCATTCTGGCGGCGTAAGCAGCCTAAATCACACTGAGAGTAGTCCGACAACCAAGCAAGCGGGTTGGCGAACAATAGCCTTTGCTAGCTGCCAGTCGCGGTATCGTGTGGCACGCCGCAAATGTTTTTGGCCTCTGCAACTTCTTGAGGGGAACCCCTGTCTATGTAAAACCACAGGAAATGTTCATTGCACCTGAATACTCAGATGAGTGCGCACCTTTACTTCAAAACTAAATTCTAGGCAACGTTCCCAACTAATAATCGGTCAGAGGTGGCCCCTCATGCAGGACTATCAAACAACTCAAGCATCCCGAGTTTCCAAGTTTGGTGTCAGGTAGTCTTGTACACTTTGCTGTACTACGTACCTCTGTTTGTCTTTTAAAAAAAAACAACTTTTGATGGTTTTGCAATGGAAAGTAAAGGGGTTTGTAACTATGTTATGCAGGGCATCAACATGCTGATTGCGGAGAAGATGATCTCGGACCGCAGTCGAGAGTACATGAACGCGCGTCGCGTCGGCAAGGAGTACGAGGCAGTGACCCGGGGCTTGAACAAGAACTCACCATCTGTGCCGCCACAGGGGACACCTGAAGAAGCAAAGCAGGTCTGTTGTCTTCATTCATGGCTCTCGTTCATTCATTCATTCATTCATTCATTCCTTCATTCATTCATTCATAACAAGCAATTTCTCACTCACTCATTCACTATGCTCGTTGATGGGAATAGGGGGTCCTTGAAATTGATAGAGAACAGAGCCATCAGAAAGAAACCGCCCCGCCGCGGCGGTCTAGTGGCTAAGGTACTCGGCTGCTGACCCGCAGGTCGCGGGATCGAATCCCGGCTCTGGCGGCTGCGTTTCCGATGGAGGTGAAAATGCTGTAGGCCCGTGTGCTCAGATTTGGGTGCGTGTTAAAAAACCCAAGGTGGTCGAAATTTTTGAAGTCCTCCATTGTGGCATCCCTCATAATATGATGATTTTGGGATGTTGAACCCCACATATCAATGAATCAAAGAAAGAAACCAGCACACGAATGCTTCAATCGTCATGATGTAGTGTAAAAACAGAAATTCAGAAACATGCAACATAGATGCCACAGTAAAAGCTAGTTGATGGGATTGCTGTTAATCCTGACAAATCAGATGATTCAGGCGTCTGCTCTGGTCCTGGCAAACATACGTTATGTTTGATGCCGTCAAACATTGTCAATGTGGTCTTACATGGGAGCAGCGTGGTTAATGCGGACGAACCTCTGAGTGCATCAAGCACGAAGCGTTGCAAATGTGCACCACAAATGAGCGAGTACTATGCTGATCTGTGAAGAAAAAACAAAGGAGGTTTTTAAGTCTTGGGTTACAGGTCCTTTGCATTGCATCCAGAAATTGTGTTAGGAAGGCACTTTGAAAAAAAAAAAAAAGTATTGAGAAACTGTATGAAAACTACAGGAACTAAAAGCTTTATGTTTAAGAGGTGAACGCAATAGCGATATCCTATCGCTAGTGCGTACTTCAAACACTTAGTGCATGAAATTTTTCAAACTTGCTATGTGGCCGCAAGGGAACAGGCGCAGTAACATGTGTGCCTTTCGTAGTGGGTGACTGGCTTTAATCCACAAAGTCATTATGACCGTCTTGTGTCCTGGCACTCGATGGCAATGGGATTTTGTACCAAGCGTTATTGCTGCAATATTTCATGCTGTATTGTGAAGGATGTATGCAGGATGCATGTGTTTGTAAAGCATGAAACTTACTGTCACTGCATTTTCATGCAAAGGAAGTTATTTTCACTGTATGCACAAGCAGATGCGTGGCCATGCGGTAGAAATTCTGCCTGCCACGCAAAAGAGCCCTGTTCAATCCCCACTTGAACCCAAACGACCAGAGTTCGATTACCACTCTGCTCCAGGATTTTTTATCATTTATTTTATTTGTATTGTTCTTGATGTTTTTCGGTCACACACGAGATGATCTTTCGCTCACAGCCAAGAATGCTGATGCCGGAACTTCTGCGAAACGAACTCTTTAACACTATCGCATTAATATGCTATGGACAGTTGCATGCCACAGCTTGTTTGGGAAGACCGAGATATTCCTGCCTGCTGTAAACGAGGTATATGAGAAACGTTAGTGTGTTTAAATATTGGATATTCACACATTGAAAAGTGCATTCACTACTGATATTGCTTGTATTGCACGAGGGCCCTGCTATGCTACTCCTTGTACCACAAACCGACTCCTTGCTCCGCAGTGGATCCATAAACATGACACTGACTACTTGCCGTGTTTGTAGATTCTATTTGCAGCACAGGTTATGTCAGATCTGATTTGAATCCAACTGGTGTAACCAACTTGTCTAATATGCTGTAAGTCTATCTTGGATCCTTATCTTTCTTGAGACTTTGGGCATGAATCTGATCTGATGATGACTTGAGCTGGGACATGCGCCCTTCAAGAGAGTTAGCGCATGAAAGTAATTTGTGTTCGACACCTTTCCGAAATGGTATTTATTGTGAGTGCCGACATTCATCCAGTAGTAAGCATCATTTGCGAATTGCAGGTGGAGCTGTGGAAGAAATACATTGCTTGGGAGAAGAGCAATCCCCTCAGGACGGATGACCACGCCCTCATCACGAAGCGGGGTGAGCTGCCCCATGAAGGCTTAATCAAACTTGTTCAACACGCTTAGTCGTTGAGGTCTTTCACAGTGGTCACGTTTGACCGGTGAAAGCTACGTATTTACAGGTGTTGTCGCTTTGTGCAAGCCAGACCTTGAACAATCACCTACAAAGATCGAGATATGTTCGTGCCGTAATGGCAGATGTTGAGTTAGTTGGTAAGCAGTTCAACATGAAAGAAGGTGATTATGGATAAACTACAGTGCAGTCTTAGCTCAAAACCAACAAATCATAGGTAGTTAATAGAGCCAGAGAGGTAGGGTTGTACAAGTACGTGAAGGAATGGGCTAGTTGTGATTCCGGAACACTGGAAATGAAGTTTAGAATGGCAGAAAGTTGAGCCGGTATGGACTCAAACCATGACGGAATTCTTGCCTTGGAACAAGCCAGTAGCAATTAGCATTGATAAACAAGCAAGATTGTGCTCATAAGCAGGAGAAGATGGATCCAAGGTTCTCCTACTCACCTGTACTGTTGTGCTTCTTAAAGGGGGCCTGCAGTGCTATTTCGTCTGCATTCTTTTGCGTTGGAATTCTTGTAGCGCCCAATACTGAGATGAGTGCTTAAACATTGATAGAAATTGGTACACACTAATGGAAGTTATTGGCTTTGAAACTTTGAAACCCCAGCAGATTATGATAAAAAAATGTTTCCTTTTGCTTTTCGCTCTCCCCCTGGTGTGAAAGGACGTTTCCAATTACCGCGCGTGCCTTACAAATTCATATCGGGCTACTTGCCTTGTGGCGGTCGTTGTGCGGCGCTCCTGCGCCGCTTCTGCTACTGTTTTCAGATTCGCATATTTAAAAACAGAAATACTTTTGCGTCTGAGCAATTATGAAGGGTGCTTTTTTAATATTTAGCGCATGATAGTGCGGCCTTTCTGGAACCATACGGGTATTACATGCGACTTGTTGCTTCACCGATCGAAATGCACGACCTATGTCGTCACTCCTACATGATGAAGCGTCACTTAAAATAACAAAAATGGCCAGTATGTGTCTCTCTAGTCAGGAAACGGCGCGGTTTCCCGACAGAAATAAAATTACAACAGCTTTGTTTCTGGCGTTGCCACTTGCGCAACAGTATTGGTGCGTCTCACAGCTCGAGAAGAAGCAATGGAAACAACAGGATTAATTTGTGTCGCAGGACCCCTTTAAGCTTCCTTTAGCCGTTCCTTGTGTGGACTAGGAAAAACGGTCTCTAAATGTGTCAACATTAAATAATAACAATATTTCAAGGCACATGAAATTCTGTTGCCACAAAAACAATGTCATTCGTGGGTAGTCCATGGCAATGTTCACGTGTCCAAGCTTGTTGCTATAGGGCTAGTATACCTTTGCATCTCGACACTGCAGTTTGTTCTAAGCTAGGTCTACGTCATAGTTCCTTCTGCTCTGTTTACATTTGCATGCCCACACTCTACTGGCTTGTTTGCGTCAACCTAGACACCTTTTGCGGAAGTGACGTGCAAATTGTCATAACCCTCACCTCACGCTTGCTTGTGTTTTTCGCAGTGATGTTTGCGTACGAACAGTGCCTGCTGTGCCTGGGCCACCACCCGGACGTGTGGTACGAGGCGGCCCTCTTCCTCGAGCAGTCCAGCAAGCTGCTCACCGACAAGGGAGACCTGAACGCCGGCAAGCTCTTCTCGGACGAGGCGGCCGCCATCTACGAGCGCGCCACCACCACACTGCTGCGCAAGAACACCCTCCTCTACTTCGCCTACGCCGACTTCGAAGAGGTATTGAATCCAGGATTAATGTGCCATAGCTGAAATGCGAAAATCGCTGTGGAGCGACTGTATGGTAAAAAAGAAATTGTTTAGGTATATAGATTGTATTAGGTATCTTTGATGATTGATGGATTAAAACTTTATTTTGGTCCTGAGAAGACGCAGGGGAGACCCCGCGCTACCCGGCTAATTCCACGTAGGGACCGTCAAGCCGAGCTTGGCGGCCCGTTCACGAGCACTCTGGGCGGCCAGGATTTGATCTTAAGTTCGGGGCTGCATAAAAGCGCAGCCCACCTGTCCTTCGCTGAGGGCAGGGGTCGATGGCTTCACATTCCCACAACACATGGTTGAATGTTGCTAACAGTCCACAAGTGGGGCAATCCCCACTTGGATACCGTTCAGGGTAGATGGCATAAATAACCGCAGGGTTAGGATATGCACTGGCTTGCAATAGTCTAAGGGTGACTGCCTGCGGCCTGCACAAGGCATAACATTTAAAAAATGACATGCTGTGGCCTTACAGAGCTCTGATCTCTCCTCTTTACTGTGGTGCCGAGATAGCATCACTATCAGTTTCATTCGCAATGTAAAATGTCCGAGCAATGAAAAAAAAAACAAATTGAAAAACACAGTATCGACCAAAGTGACTGCTCCAGTAGCCACGACCCCATTTAATATTTCGCTCTTTTCTTTCAACAGAGCCGAATGAAGCATGAAAAGGTTCATCAAGTCTACAACAAGTTCATCGAAATTCCAGACATCGACCCAACGCTGGTAAGAAAGCGTGCTGGACTCGTTGAGTTGTCGGTGAAACATTGTGTCACACGTGTAACACGCCTGTTGCCAAACCTTTGTCTATCGCGTGCACCAGGCTTTCTCAGACAACACTTCGGCCGCACTCTCCATTTCAATGTGAGTTCAGTAGTCTGGACGTTATTACTTGAAGGGGCACTTGCGAGAAAGGCTATTGCAGTCGCGTTGCATGCTGTCAACGGCCCCGCCGCGGTGGTCTAGTGGCTAAGGTACTCGGCTGCTGACCCGCAGGGCGCGGGTTCAAATCCCGGCTGCGGCGGCTGCATTTCCGATGGAGGCGGAAATGTTGTAGGCCCGTGTGCTCAGATTTGGGTGCACGTTAAAGAACCCCAGGTGGTCTAAATTTCCGGAGCCCTCCACTACGGCGTCTCTCATAATCATATAGTGGTTTTGGGACGTTAAACCCCACATATCAATCAATTGCATGCTGTCAACAGCACATTGTGTCCAACATCGTACGTTCTTGGCTAGATGTAGTGTAGTTGAAAACAGGTGTTCGTGGCTTGGCTTACTGGTGCGTGTTTCCAAGGCTATGCGGCCTGAGTTATGGTCGACGACCTTGCGGTCCGAGTTAAAAAAAAGAATAGCAATTGAATTTTATTACGTTATTATGTAAATAAAAGACTTCCGATTTCAACATTGATTTCAGTAGTCTGGTGGTTGGTGCTTGAAGGGCACTAGGGAGCAAGGTGATTTCAATTGTTTTACAATTGGTTACAGCCTGAGAATAATTACAACCTCTGCCTACTGCCATTACTGTTCCGTCCAGTGATATAGTTTGCATAGACATTCCATCCAATCATATTTCCTCCGTTCCATAATGCGGAGCACTTTTCATGTGTTTCGGATGGCTGGTGTACCCGTACAGACATAAGTCTGTGTCGTTGTTGTTTAATGGAACGAAAAGAAGGGATTCTTTATGGCTGATATTTTTCCTTTGTTAGACTCGGTATTAATGATAACTAACCGACAATCAAGCCGAGGAAAATATGGTGAAAGATTCTTTTGGGTAATTGTTGTGTAAAAATGTAATTGAAAGAGTGGCAAGTTATCATTTTGCCCACCATAATTGCTACTCATTTTTTGCAGGAGTGAAATGGCCGTGGATATTGCGCATTTTTGATACGTTTACTTCGAAAGTTTCAATGCGAATACTTCGTTTTGATGTGAATACTTCGTTGATGCGAATACTTTGAAAGTTTCAATGATTTAAATTGTAATCAAAGCGAGTTTGATTACTCTACTATTCGTTACAATATTTGAAGCATTCGAATATTCGCATCAGCCTGGTTTCATGCAATATTGCATTACGATCAACTACACAAAAAATAATACTTAATTACTTTGGTAATTATCACTAGCTCCCCGCAGGGGCGCCTGCGCAAGTAGGCGTTTGGTGTGTAGCGACACCACGGACCCGAGCTAACTGGGGAGTTTCGGCTCCCTCCCACGCCTAGCCGTGCGTGGCTTTGCCGTGTCCGGGGAAAAGGGGATCCTGGGGGGTTGAGCTGGCACTGGGTGATTGGACCTTTAAGGTCCCCCGGCAGAGGCAACACACCCCTTTGGCCCTGGCTTCACGTAGACGGCACCCCTGGGCTGACCCACCCAGGGGAAATCGGCAGTTGCCTTTTCCTATCTCTCTCTGCCTACATCGTTGTCTTTATCTCTCACTATCTATCTGTCCTGTCTTCTACTCTCTTCTGTTTACTTCCAATTTTCCTGGCGGCAAGGGTTAACCCTGTGTAGTTACCCAACCTTGGGTAGTTATATTCGGTTATAGTGGCGATGCATGGCTGGCGTCTCCAAGTGTTCACTATTCAACCTTGTAGCGTCCCCTTGTTGGGCTCGGTGGTGGGTGGCCACCATCGCCGCCGAATTTAAAATGCTTCTTATGGAAAACCCTTTTCTTGCACTCCCTGATCGCCGCCTGAAAAGGTGGCGCACCGATGACAGCTTCTTTACTGCACAGCCTAAAGAGACCTTCTCCAAGTACCATGTAATCCACAGCCAAAATGAAAAGAAAACAGTTCGATCTATTTCACCATTCATTGTCTTGAAAACGCTCACAGATGCAATTGGCCCTGGCTATAAAGAGCGGGAATGGCGATCCCCTTCTAGAAGTTCACGACAAGACTCAGTACGACAAGCTCACAAAACTCGTTTCATTTGATAACATCCCAATATCAGTGGGCCCACATAGGTCGATGAACACAGTGCGTGGTGTCATATCTGATGATGACCTCCTCAAGCTGTCTGAAAGTGAATTGCTCGAAAGCTGGCAGGAAAAAAATGTAGTGAAAGTACAAAGAATAATAATCAGGCGAGATAATAAACAGATCCTAACAAGGCACATCATAGTTACCTTCGGTACAAGCAACCTTCCCGACTCTATTGAAACTGGTTACTGCAAGCTTCCTGTCAGACCTTATATACCTAATCCTCGCCGATGTTTCAAGTGTCAGCGCTTTGGACACGAATCCCAAACGTGCAGAGGGCGTGCTAGGTGCGCGAAGTGCGCATCTTGTGAACATGTATTTGAAAAGTGCACTTCAGAAGCCTGTTGCGCTAACTGTGAAGGAGACCACGCTGCCTACTCCCGATCATGCCCTGCATGGAAAAAAGAGAAACAAATATTAGAACTTAAGGTAAAGTTTAACCTGTCATTTCAAGAGGCACGTCAATGTTTTTCTACACACAATAATTCTGAACCTTTCTTCGCCGACGTGGCGCGTCGAGGCGCCGTGCCACGTCTTTCGGCACCCGCGAGATTCACATCAAGTGTGACTGCGGTTGTGCCAGAAGCGCCTCCGGCTGGAGCAGTCTGTACTGCTCCGCCTTATATTCAAAAGGGCCAGCAGACATCAGAGACTGCTGGACCACGGACCACTGCAAGTACAGTCAGGTCCGAAACTGCCATAAACGTGTCTGCCAAGCAGGCACCATCCACCACCTCAGAAGAGGTGATGGACACAAGCCATACTCCTTCAACGCCCCACACGCCAAAGGAAAGGCACAGTTCTTTGGAGCGAAGCAAGAAAGAGAAAACCCGTATTACAGGGCCCCAACAGGCCCTGTAACTTAAGGCAACGTTTCTGTACACACAGCACTTAACTACATTAAAAATGGAGACACAAATTTTACAGTGGAACGTCAGAGGACTACTGAGAAACCTTGACGATATTCAAGAACTTTTACATAAACAGTCACCAAAAGTGCTGTGTGTACAAGAAACACACCTAAAACCCAAGATCACTAATTTTCTACGCCAGTATATTATTTTTTGAAAGGACAGGAATGAAGCCGTCACGTCATCTGGTGGTGTGGCTATTATAGTAAATCAAGGGATTGCATGTACTCATCTACCACTCGAAACATCTCTTGAAGCAGTGGCTATTCGTGTAGCACTCCTGAACAAACTCGTGACCACCTGCTCTGTCTACATACCTCCACACTACCATCTTGAAAAACGTGAATTCCAGTCCCTAATAGATAAACTTCCAGAACCTTATATCCTCCTTGGAGATTTCAATGCACATAGCAATCTATGGGGTGACTCTCGCTGCGACGCTCGAGGTCGCCTGATCGTACAGTTCCTTTTTACTTCTGGCGCGTGCCTTTTGAATCGAAAAGAGCCCACATATTACTGCCTTGCCAGCAATACCTACTCGTCAATAGACCTTAGCATTGTCTCACCATCCCTCCTTCCTTTACTGACATGGAATGTCATCAATAATCCTTACGGAAGTGACCACTTTCCCGTAACGCTAAGCACACCCATATCAAATGAATATCACCCACAGGTCCCCAGATGGATCACTGACAAAGCTGATTGAAAACAGTTCTCACAGATTAGTCACTTCAGTTGGACTGACCTATGTGGTTTAAACATAGATGCAGCTGTACAATACTTTTCTGCTTTTTTGACCGACGCTGCTATGAAATGCATCCCGCAAACTTCTGGACTGCCTGGCAAGCGACATGTCCCATGGTGGAATACTGAATGTCGCAATGCACGCAAACAACAAAACAAAGTGTGGAGATTGCTACGGGACTCGCCGACGGCAGAGAATCTTGAAAGTTTTAAGAAAATCAAGTCCCAAGGCAGGAGAACGCGCCGGCAGGCTAGGAGAGAAAGCTGGCTTAAGTTTTTATCAGGCATCACTTCATATACACAAGAAACTAAAGTCTGGAACATGGTTCGCAAGGTAACAGGACGACACGCATCTTCACTACCTCTCGTAGACACACAAGGGGACACCTTGGAAGACCAGGCGAACTTCCTCGGTGCCCACTTCGAAGAGGTGTCCAGTTCGTTGCATTATACTGCAGCTTTTCAACGACACAAAAGAAAAATCGAAAAAGAGAAACTTCAGCGAAAATCCTCTAAACATGAGTCGTACAACAACCCTTTCAGTTTGGCCGAGTTACAAGCATCGCTACATGCTTGCAATAAATCAGCTCCAGGTTCGGACAGTACAGTATACGAAATATTAAAACAACTGCCTTTTGAAACACAAAAAAACCCTGCTTTCCCTGTACAACTCCATCTGGTTTTCCGGTGAAATCCCTTCTGCGTGGAAAGAAGCCATTATTATTCCGATTTTAAAGCAAAGCAAGGATCCATCTTCCGTTAGTAGTTACAGGCCAATCGCACTTACAATTTGCATGTGTAAACTTTTTGAAAAAATGATAAATCGCAGACTTGTACATTACCTTGAAGCGAACAATCTGCTCGACCCATTCCGATGCGGGTTTCGAGAGGGTAGATCCACCACTGACCACCTCGTGCGTATCGAAGCACAGATCCGAGAGGCCTTCGTCCACAAACAATTCTTTCTTTCTGTGTTCCTCGACATTGAAAAAGCCTATGATACGACATGGAGATTCGGAATATTAAGAGACCTGTGCAATCTTGGTGTGCGTGGCAGGATGTTTACTATTATCGAAAGCTACTTGTCCAATCGTACATTCCGTGTCCGTGTGGGCAGTGTTCTCTCCCAAACATTTGCCAGGAAACAGGCGTGCCACAAGGGGGTGTACTTAGTTGTACACTTTTTCTTATCAAAATGAATTCCTTGCACCTGTCCATCCCCCGCAATATGTTCTATTGTACATATGTCGACGACGTTCAGCTTGGTTTCAAGCCATGCAACTTGGCGATGTGTGAGCGGCAGGTTCAGTTAGGTTTAAACAAGGTGTCCAAATGGGCAGAGGAAAACGAATTCCGGCTGAACCCACAAAAAAGCACGTGTGTCTTGTTCTCTTGAAAGAGAGGCATGCACTCAGAACTCGCCATTCAACTGAACGGTCAACGTCTGTCTGTAAATGCGGAGCATAAATTTTTAGGCCTAATCTTGGACAACAAGTTCACCTTCGTACCGCACATCAAGTATTTAAAAAAAATGTTTTAAAGCCATGAATGTTTTAAAAGTGTTGTCACGCACTACATGGGGTAGTGACAGGAAATGTTTAATTAACTTATACAAAAGCCACGTACGCACACGCCTAGATTACGGTGCTATAATCTATCAGTCGGCAACACCATCAGCCTTGAAAATTCTCGACCCTGTCCATCACCTAGGCATTTGCCTCTCTACGGGTGCTTTCCGAACCAGCCCTGTGGAGAGCCTGTACGGGGATTCGAATGAATGGTCGCTCCACCTACAAAGATGTTCCCTGTCCTTTTTGTACTTTTTGAAGGTGAAGGCAGACAAGAAACACCCTTCCCATTTCGCAATTAATGATTTGTCTTGTTCTAGCTTGTTCGAGAACCGTCCTTCGTTTAGGCAGCCCTACGCACTGCGTGTAAGGAGCCTGGCCAAAGAAACAGGTGTGCCTCTTCTTGAACCCAGTTTGATGGCTCCTGCAACATATCTGCCACCGTGGCAGTGGCAGCTTATAGACTGTGATGTCTCTTTTGTTGATGTCACAAAGCACGCATCACTTGCACACATACATACACACTTCCTAGAACTACAACATAAATACACATGCCCTGAGTTCTTTACCGATGCGTCAAAGTCAAACACTTCTGTGTCATATGCTGCGGTAGGCTAATCCTTTTCCGAGGCCGGCGTTCTTAATCTTGATGCAAGCCTTTTCACAGGAGAAGCTTACGCAATACTGGCGGTCGTAAAACACGTTAAACAGATAAAATTACAAAAGGCGGTAATATACACAGATTCCCTAAGCGTGGTCAAGGCCCTGAAAACTCCTAAAAAACACAAGAAGCCCGTGCTGGTGTCACTCTACTCACTTCTGTGCACACTCTACACATCAAAACAGCATGTCGTTGTCTGCTGGGTTCCAGGGCACCGTGAAATACAAGGGAACGTTTTGGCCGACAATCTGGCTGCTTGCGCCAATGTCACTACTGCCAATGCATCAACACCAGTCCCTGCACTTGACTTGAAACCTTTTATAAAACGAAAGCTCAGGGGGTATTGGCAGAGCATGTGGGATAAACACACAGATAATAAACTCCATGCTATTAAGCCGCAACTAGGTTATTGCCCGCCACTATCAAAATCACGACACACAGAAGTAATCCTAACAAGGCTTAGAACAGGACATACACATTCTACACATTCATTTCTTCTGTCTACCGGTGATCCACCATATTGTGAGAGATGTGGAGAGCCCCTTACGGTTCTCCACATTCTCGTCCAGTGCAATGAGCTAGATGCTCTAAGAAAAAAGCACTTTTTACTGCCCTGCCGACAGCAGCTCCCTCTACACCCTGGGATGCTCATCGGTAGGGATCCGCTTTTTAAACTGCAAACACTTTTTACATTTTTAAAAGAAGTGCAAAGCTTTCACCCGATATTTCGAGGTCATCCGTAGCACGACCTCTATAGAGTGGTCGTGGCTGCGGTGACTATATCTTCACCATGGTTTTATTATCATGACATTTTGCCATCAGCTATCACCACACATATGTCACGCCGCTGTCATGATTTTATTACTTTCATGTTTTAACCCGCGTTAGAGCGAGGAACTTTAAGGCCCCTTTACAGCCACGCACCATATCATTGTTCATATCTGTAGTCAATTGAAATGGCCCTCTTTGGCCATCAATTGGCCCTTGCGCCACTAAAATCTACTCATCATCATCATTAATTATCACTAGCTAAAATATGCACAGAGCAATGCCCTACTATCGTAACTTTCATTCAGCAATATGTGCCTGGTTATAAGCTATTAAAAATTGGGTGCTTTTTTTGAACAGACCGTCAAAAATTATTCGTGCTTGAAGAGGGGACACTACAATAACTCTGTTGTCCACGACTCTGATAGGATACACATGTGCCTGTGGTATGATATATATTGTACATATTACTGTACTCGGTACGTATTACACTCATGGAATGATTAAAAAAAAAATGACATGTCTAAGCTTGTGCGAATGTTTGAATGCTTTGAATATTTGAACAAATAATGCGTATTTGAATTCACTTTGAATCAAATTTTAATTATTCCTAGCTTCGAATTATTTGAGATGAACAAATAAGTGCATACTTGTCCGCATGTAAAAGTGGTTTCACTGCAGCGAAGTGGTGCTGAGCCGTGAAAACACGTATTCAGTAGAAACCCTCACTGCCGCAAAGCCTCACTTCAAGGTTAAACGAAGATATTACTCTCACATCACTTCATTTCTTCAGTTTAAAAGCTCGTTATATTGACTTACATGCACTAAGTATAGGAAACTTTTAAGTGTAACATTTTTGCATGATATCACTTTTATTAAACTGAAAATCAAATTGTGCTACTATTTAAACTACTAGTTTCACCTTCCTTTAATGCAAAGAAAAAGGCATCTGCCCAAGCCTTCTTTCTATTAAAAAAAAAAATATTTTGCAGGTTTTTTTGGTCATGGCAAATATGCCCCTTTTTCTGTGGCTTCTTAAAAGAAAGAAACTGTGGCTTCTTAAAAGAAAACTTAGGAAAGCAGCCAGTAGCATCAAAATTCTAGTGCACAATGCCTGCATAATGTCTAAATTGGAGTATGCATCAATTGTGTGGGATCTGCATTGTCAAAAAGATATTTTGCAACTAAAAAATGTTCAGTGTTAAGCAGTGAGATTTATATTAGGAAAATACAAACGTCTAGATTCCCTTACACAGTTGATGAAGCTCAATAACAAATCAACGCTGGAAGCCCGGAGAAAAGTTATCCGCCTTTCATTCCTTCACATCTGCCTAGCAGGTAATTTATCTCCTCCAGCACCTGTCTTAGTACAAGAACAACACGGCACAATCACAAACATTCGTTAGCACCAATCTTTGCTAGCCCAAAAGCATTTCAATACAGTTTCTTTTCCTTTGTTGGCAGTATACAATGCCATGTTTATAAGGTGTATCACTTTTCATTGTTACCATTTCTGTTTGCCTCTACCACATGTATTGATGGCCCTATTTTTCAATGATTGTCGTACTGATTTCACCGTTTTTTTTTTCTTGTGTGTGCCTGTTGCTTGGCTTGTATACCTAATTTTGCATTGTACGTGAAGCCCATCCTGTTGAGCCAAAATATTGGCTTGCAGTATTTCAAATAAATAAATAACATCTAATATATATGCACTATTTGAATTCAGTTTGAAATTATTTCACCAAAATTACTATATTCTTCGAATTGGCTTCGAATCTAAAGTTCACTATTTGCACAAGCCTAGACATGCAACTACACAACAGACCTATGTGGCCCCATGTGTGCCTGCTTTCGTATTTAGTTTTTCATTGTTCTGTGATTTTATCACTAAGCCTACTACATTGCGAGTTCCAACAACAAACTCTGTTTATTGCTTGTGTAAAGGTTTCGTTCATCTTCAACACCGTAGCACCAGGGATAGCCGTTCTGTGCTTATCAGTGATTCAGACTAGTCAATAAGGTTCATCATAAAACAAATGCCACACACAAGCACGTAAGAAAAAAAAAACGTCTTCATGAGCGCTGTGTTTCAGCTTTTTCTCTTCTTTTGTTTACAATTGTGTGACGTTTGGGGCTCATTTGCCAAGCCGTTACTGTTGTTTGCTTCTCTCTGCGCAGGCGTACATCCAGTACATGAAGTTTGCGAGGCGGGCCGAGGGCATCAAGACGGCACGGGTCGTCTTCAAGAAGGCGCGAGAGGACGCTCGGAGTGGCCACCAGGTGTACGTGGCTGCGGCACTCATGGAGTACTACTGCAGCAAGGTGCGTTCTCCAGCTGTGATTGGTCACGATCTGTGAGAACAGCTGCTGCCACGCAGAGTTTGAAATAAGCCTGAAATACTTCAGATGTTTTATATTACTCGTTTGAGCAAGCTTTGACAGGTAGTGGTGAACTTGTGCTTTTCCTCTTAGGAAAAAACCGTGGCCTTCAAGATCTTCGAGCTGGGCCTGAAGAAGTACGGTGACAATTCGGACTACATCATGGCCTACATAGACTACCTCTCACATCTGAACGGTGAGTCTATTCTCTAGCTGTGTTTATTTGCTTCGTTAACTTATTGGTTTCCATTTCATTGTCTCTGCTATTCGATACGCCTGATCAAGAGCACATTCTTTACAACATTATATGTGCTGGGCTAGATATGGTGTACTTCAGGTTGCCTATTTGTGGCTTGGCTAACGTATGCGTGTCTCCAAGGCGACACAGTCTCAGTTAAAAAAATTTGACAGTGATTGAATTTTATAGAAAATCTTGAAAAGTGTTTGCAGATGCATTGAACATGGTGAATTCATAGGGTGAGCACGGCTTCAGGCGGGGCCATAGGCAGACATTTTTTTGTTTATTTCAGGGTAAAGGGGGGGGAACAGCCCTGGTGTGCCGCCCCGAGCTACACCACTGGCTCCAGGTGATGCACTGTTACAAGATCGGCATCATAGCACCAACCTTTTTGTCAAATTACGTAAATATACGTAAAATACAGTTATACGTAAATACGTAATACGTATTTACGTATACGTAATATACGTAATAAGTACGTAATATACGTAAAATACAGTTAACCTCAGGCAAACTCATGTTGCATACCAACAAACTCTATACCTATACATAATTATTACGTCATCCTAATTATTAATTTCTTGTCTTTACATAGCCTTTCAACTGTAGCCCAGGCCTTATTGAAGCAAGGTTTAATTAGGTTAGCTGGCAATTCATCTTGAACAAACAGCGCAGAAGTCAGCAATGTATAAAACCTTTGTTTCCCTTTTTTGTCCGTTGTCCACTCCTGCTTTGTTTATTCAAGTTTGTATCGCTGCGGCGTCGGACCATTCCAGAAATCGCCAAGAACCAGTAAGGTTCCTGGCAGTTCTGGTTGTCACCAAAGTCCAGTGCAGTGTCAGTCTCATCCGGTCGTCCGTTGCGGTCTACGACGCTCTGACAAGTCTCATGCTTTTCTCCACAGCCAGATGAGTTGGTCGTTGCCCGTGCTTGGGCTGTCGTGCCGCTGAAGTGACTCGCGGGCCTGTTGGCCCTAGCGTGTTCTTTGGCCGCTTGACCTGGAGCGGTGCTCTGCAGCCAACATGGCACTCCAGGAATTGTCTTTGGGTATGGTGCCTGCTTGCTTCGGAAGGCGGATATTATCGGGAGCACCCGTACTTGCTGCGTGTGGCTGTCGGATCACCGAGAAACTGCTCAAACATCATAGAAGCCGCCAGCGACACCTCAGAATGCAAGACTTGCAAAACTCGAACACCTGTAGTTCTCATCATCAGTATGCTGTCGGCGAAACGGACTTTCTGCAGCTATGTTCCTGCAGACAACGACAGTTTCCAACACTTTTTCTTTTGATTGAGGCATGATTTCTGGGTCTCCAGGCTTTAGACCTTTCCGTGCACGCGCTCATGCTTATTCTCACGCTTTCGACATGTCATCCTCTTGTCTCTTGTTGCATTGCCTCTTATAGCTTTGTCACACAAGAACTTTAATGTCATGTGTACCGAGTGACGTTTACGTTTATAACGTGGTCACTTGTTTGTCACGTGGGTACATCTAATGTCCTTAAATGAAAATTATTTGTGTGAACGAGTGCAAAAATGTTTCAAATGTGCATTTCCTGTTCATTGTAGTTTCTGCACGTGTGAGCCTGGGTTTTCCAGTGCTTTCTTTTTTGACGAGGGAGAAGAAACTGTAGTGCGTGAAATCGTGGAAGCATATTGCATTAACAAGAAGAAAGAAACGTGCTTGACACATTTGTTGTTCTGCATAGTGCCAGGTTTAGTTTCTTTCGGTCTCTTTTAGATTAGTAAGTGGTTCTTGTCATTTCCATTATCCAGTGTATTATGACAAGTTTCTGAGGCAATACTCCTGGTGCACGGGTTTTAGATATATGGCTATATAGTATATATATATATTGCTGCTTTCTTGAGAGTGAAGTTTGCAAATGACACTCTTCAGTAACGATAGCAAGGAATTGCAATAAATGTTTGGGAAATGAAAGGGAGAAAGTATTGAAGTAGGCCTAGAAATGAATACGATAAAGACAATGATAATGGTGAATAGCCTGGCAAAACAGAGGCAGTTTAAGACCAAAAACCATACATTGGAGTTTATACAAGAATATGTATGCCAACTAATAACAGGAGAGCTGAATCATGAAAAAAATTTTTTTTCGAAGAATACAAATGGGCTGGAGTTCATTTGGCGAGAAAATAGTGTGGTTGAAAGATAGAAGATAACAAACCTGATAGAGAAAAGGTTGAAGACCATCAAGCATTCAGTGGGGTGTAAAATTAAAGGACTGATGTTGAGAGATTGGAGAACAGAAGAATAAGTCAGGACACAAACTGGGATTCCAGACATACCAGTTGGCATCAAGCCAAGGAAACAGACCTGGGCAGGTATTATGTGAGATAGACAACCGGTGGACGCCAAGCGCAACAGAAAGGTTACCATAGAATGAGAAACGTGGTTGAGGAAGGCAGAGAATTTGATGGAATGACAAAATAATTAGTTTTGCAGGGCTAAGACGGAATCGGTTAGCATGGGGTAAGGTATAATGGAGGTCATAGGCGGAGGCTTTCATCCTGCAGTGGACTAGAATAGGTCAGGAACGATTATGATGAGGCTCTTTTCTATTCTGTCCCGAGTCCCTCCGTGATGGTTATGTGTCTTTGTTGTATTTCAGCAAGCATGTATCAACAGCAGGCTTTACTCTGTTTCTTTTTTGTTTTGTTTTTCACCCTTTTGGTGAACAGAGGACAACAATACCAGGGTGCTGTTCGAAAGAGTGCTCACATCGGGATCGCTGCCACCGGAAAAGTCTGTGTAAGTTGGTGCACCGACACAATCTTTGTTTTTTTCTTGACAGGTGCATCTTCTCATGCTAACCGTGGTGCTCTAATTACAGAGAAATTTGGAATCGGTTTCTGGAATTTGAGTCCAACATCGGCGACCTCTCGAGTATTCTCAAGGTTGAGAAGCGGAGAGCTGCCGCTATCGAAAAGGTAAGGAAAGTTGACGCAGCTGAATGAGAGATTGATTTTTTTTCTGGAAAAAAAAAAAAGCAGTTGGATTGAGAAGTATATTTTTACATGTATGAAAAGGTTAGATCAACATCACGGATGCGTGCTTTTCCTGCAAGGGTAATGACACGGAATCCATTTTTCTATTCTTTGTTATTTTTTTTCCGCATTGCCAGGCATTCTCTGACCTAATAAAATTCATTACCTGTCTCAGCCACACCTGCTCATGGAATGATTTATCGTGCAGTTTTTAATGCAGTTGAAAACTGCCAGGAGAATACAATTCTTTCTGATCAACAACTGTGACTGCTTACCTAAATTTGAAATAATTCAAAATATTTCTAATTCTACAAAGCAAATCAGGTATTCATACTCCCCTTTAGCCGTGCATACACACACCTCCAAAATAAGTTACGGTAGACAAAGGTTTAGCTTAATTGAAGCATATTGTGTTTGCAGAAAATTCCACAAACTGCCAAGTCTACTTTGAAACTCCTGATAAATATTGTGCACTTATTTACAAAATACCTACATCACCGTGAAAGGGGGGAAGTGGTTTTGTAAGAGATTAAAAGAAAAGTGAGCCCCGCAACTGTCTGCAGCCAAGTGCGACATCTCAGCACTAGCTCATGAGAGAATGGGGTAAGAAGGGATTAAAAGGGATAAAGTGAGAAGTGAAGATTAAGAAGGAAGAGGATTGGTGCACGGCCGAAGGAGTCCGAGGATGAGGCTCTGATTGGCTAGAGCTACATGGAGTCAGGAGATCGTGGACGACACGCCGATCAGCGAGAGTTATGCTGTCGTCGGAGATTCAGAGATAGCGTACGACAGAACCATTCAGCACAAAATCCACTAAGCGAGTCCTCACCGTGAAAGTGATGTAGCTATTCTTCAGATGCCTGTACGTTGTGAGGGGGTGTGGAAAAAATATAACTTGTAATAACAAAAAAGCATATCGTGCACATACTCATGTACAAGAAAGTTATGTAATCTTATTTAAAAAAAATATGTGGGTAATCGAGGAATCCCAATTTTGGCACACTAGCCATAGCTGTTTCAATTGTGTGAATTTTCAAAAGTTCATTTATCTTTTTATGAAGACTGTTTACCTGGATGCACGTAATTTGGTTTTACTTGGTATACTTGGCAGAACTGTGCATAAAGCTTGCTAGCCACATCAAGAATCATGATAGCATACTCAACTTGCTTGCAGCTCAAGGAGTTTGAAGGCAAGGAGACAGCACTGCTGGTGGACCGGTACCGGTTTATGGACCTGTATCCTTGCAGTCCACAAGAACTGAAGTCCCTGGGATACAGAGTGAGTTGTGTTACTTTTGTAGGTGTGCTGGCCTGTTTTCGACATGACGTCTCCACATGACATGCATGACATATAGCCCAAATTGTGTTGCATCATTGCAAGTTTGGATGTGTTTGTGACTTCATGGTAGCCTCGGTGAAATAATATATACTTGAGTGCCAGCTCTGCCCCTGTGCAATGCAATCGCTCGGGACAAACTTAGTGACATGACTGCGAAGATCTTATTCATTTCATTGGTGCTGCTTCAATGTTCTTGCATGTGGCTTCTCTTCCTCTTGTGCTCCCTGCCAATTGCCCAAGAGCTGTTGGTTGAGGTGCATGAAAATCATTCAACAACTCGCTTTCGTGTGCTCATGCTTTGGGGGCCAGAAAGCATACGACATAACGGATTGGCTAGCAGATGCAGAAACACTGCAAAGCACTATTGCCCACCGTAGCTATGGCCGTGACGGAAAGATCTGAGCTTGGCCCATCTGTATGGCTGCTCGTTTTGAGTATCAGAATAGCTCTTCCACAGGTGTTACTCGTTCGTTGCGCCATCTGGCAAACATGATGCGAAGCAGGAATCGGCTTCGCACAATGTCTCCCTTCCGGACAAGTGGAGTCTGCAGTCCTGTTTAAGCTTGCTCTGCGGTAGCATCACAACCTGTTGTTTGTTCTCGCAATTTTTCCATCTTGTGGCGGCATCTCTTTGCTGGAGTTGCCATTTCGGGCCTTTTATAGTAAAGAATGATTCACTGTTAATATATTTGTGCATATTTTTTGTAATGCAAGCACTTTTGACAGAGATCAGTCTAGCTGAGTGAAAGAATTCTGGGTGTTGAACTGGCACTAGCCACAGATAAACCACCCAACTTCATTTTGACACTTTGACTTTGTTACGACAGGGGCTGAGGAAATTCTGGAGCACTCTGGTACACCTGGTACATTGTACTATGCTCTTTGGTAGCTGTGCTTTGTGCATAGTTCCTCTTTGATATTGACGACACTTCAGTTTATAGCCACTGGTCACTACTGCCTTGGAACGAGTGCAAAACTCCCGGTGCAGCTTCTCTGTAGAATGCGCAAGCACTGAAGCGTTGCACCCGGTGGTTGGGCGTGACGGGACCGTTCTGTTGACAGGACGTGACACGGCTGCCAGTGGTGGTGTCGTCTGCGCCAGCGTCAAAGCGTGAGGTGCGCGAGGAGAATGTGGCGGACCAGCAGAGCCCCGTGTACCCCCGCCCTGACACGGGACAAATGATACCCTTCAAGCCCAAGCAGATCTGCCGTAAGTTACACACACGCTCTTTATCTCTCTCGCTCGTTCGGTGTCATAGCTGGGCGGAATGTTTTGAGGTGCAGTTAAAGTGTGATATCACTATAGTGCATATCGGCAAACGTTTATTGCCATTGGTGAGAACGAAGCTTAACCCGCTGCGGTGGCATAGTGGTTATGGCACTCGGCTGCTGACCTGCAGGTCGCGGGATCGAATTCCGGCCGCGGTGGCCGCATTTTCGATGGATGCGAAAATGCTTGACGCTTGTGTTCTTAGATTTAGGTGCGCGGTAAAGAAACCCAGGTGGTCGAAATTTACAGAGCCCTCCACTACATCGTGTCTCCAGTGGCGTAACTAGGGGGGGGCAAGGGGGTACAAGTGCCCCGGGCGCCACTAGGGAGGGGGCGCCAAGCCGAGTCCTCGGGTTGGCGCCCCCTGGAAAGGTTGTCAATGTTTTTTTCCGTAAAACCGCCTGGAAGGGGGGAGGGGCGAGGTTGTAATGTACGACTGGAAGTGGGGATGGTGGTGAAGGAAAGGGTTGCCGCAATGGCTTTTGCATCGGGAAAAGGATCCTCTATTTTCATTTTGCTGCGCTACCTCCGTGCCTTCCCATGACCCTCGGCTAAGCTTTGTTTTGTGCTCCGCAGCACTGGGTTAGATGAGTTTCAGCGAACCCCACCAGCCTCCCAAACCACTTACTGAAAGCTTCCCTGAAACCAACCACGTACGTAAACAAAATAAAATAAAAAAGTTCGAATGCACCTTTTTTGAGTAAGAACAGAAAACTCCAACGAAATAGCCGATCGTCCAACGACTAATCGTCCACGCAGCGGCGGAAGGAAGGGCGAATATAATCCGTGACCTCGGCACCAAAGGCTAAACAAAGGCGTTTATTCGCAGAGTTCTCTGGAGGAAAGACGGAGAAAGCGTGACACGACGGCGACGTTTGTTGATTCCCTGCATCGCGGGCGCCAGCAAAGCAATAGAAGGGCGGGGGTCAACGTTTCCCACATGCCATCCACCGCCATGGGCAGGTTCATCCTTTGGCCCAAAGAACACGCACCTGCGAAAAAAGCGCAGAGCGTAGTGTACCCGACAGCATGTGCCGACTGCCCCGCTTCGTACGTTGGAGAAACCAAGAACTTCCCTGAAAGAATGCGGCCGCACAAGGATGACCTCCATCAATGGAACAGCGAACGGAGCGAAACGGCAGAACACTCCGACCAGTTTAACCCCCATACCAGACCCGAGGGCGCGGTGTCTAGCTGGTTGCTTTGTTTTGTACTCACCCTGCATTCCTTGGGATGCACAAATAGCGCGAAAGCTTAGGTACGAGAAACTTGGGCCTGGGAAGCGCCCGTGCCGTCAAGATTTTTGCAGTGTGGACTGGAAGAGAACAATGACGGGTAAGGGACTTCCGGAAGTTTGAATAAAAAAAGAAAAATACTATACAAAAACGCGGGCGTAGCTCATCGAAATCAGAACTGGTGGCCCTTGGCCTCCGAAATGGCCCGCCGCGCGCCAGTAGGCAATCGCGGAAGCCTACATTAGCGCTTTTAATGGGGGGGGGGGCGCGGAAATTATCACGGGCATAATGAGGGGCGCGGAAATATATTTGCCCTGGGCGCCGTCCTATCTAGTTACGCCACTGCGTGTCTCATAATCATATTGTGGTTTTGGAACGTCGAACCCCAACAATTGTTATTATTGGTGACGATGAAGCAGCACAGGTCTAAGGGCTGCAACACAGGTTTAAGGGATGATCATCGCCGCACGTATTTGCAAGTGAGGATGACACTCAGAGTGGTGGAGGTGTCTTTGGACAAAAATGTAACAGAGGAGATGTTTAGGTTTATATGAGGATCAATAACGTGTGTTTGTTAGTGCTGCTCGCTGTTCTCATCTCACCTGCATTGTTATGCTGCTGGAAGTACTGAGTGATTTTACATCAATCTTTTTGCAGAGCTGAACACTGAGCCGAGTACCGCTTCCATGTTTTTCCAACGCTTGTGATGGTTTTTCCTATGCTTGTGATCAGCCTTATGTTGCATCCAGTGGTGTGCACTGAAATGTAGAAATCCCGACAATAATACAAAGTGTCGAGAGCAACTTGCAAGTCGACAGCAAACGATATGGCTATAGTTGAATACTACTTAAAAAGGCCAGAGAGGTGCCACCCAGCTCATCGAAACGGTAGCACCGATTGCCTCGTGAAATGGTGGTGCTCGTATTCCTGAGAACGGAGCCACTGGCTTTGCTACTCACAATATCGATCTAGAGTGCGCGTAGATCAGTGAAAGCTTGTATTCATCCAGCTCTGAGGATGAAAACTGCACGCTCCTGAAGTTAAACTCGTGTATCGGTCTTCTCCCTAGTACAGTTCGTTTCTAAGGAAAGAAAAAACATCAGTTATTGTGTAAGTGGAAAGACTACTGAAGAAAGCACTCAGAAAGCAAATAAAGAATAAAATGGCACTGCAGTTGGTCGAAATGGGGCTGTAATTGGCCGAAATGGTCCCTTGCGCTAATCTTTTTCTGCAGGGACTGTGCATGTGTGTGCACCATATTATTTCAGTGTAGTGTCGACCTATGCCATTAACTAGCAGGTTGCGATTCACGCCGAATGTGATAGCAGTACAGTCAAACCTGCATACTGTGCTGAATTCGTAGTGAAAAAAAAAAAAATGAGAGAATTTTTTCAGAGTACGGTGTACTTAAAGAACTATAGACTATGAAGATTTTGTTACTCTAGAAAACAAACCTCGTGCAAACTGCTCTTTACTTACTGAAGGCACAAACCTTGGGCCTATAGCGCTAGAAATAGTCTCCAATTGTCTTTTGTTCTCTAATTTTCAATGCGTTGCTAAACCTGTACTTTTCAACACTATCCAGTGATTGAGAGCAGAGTTGACAACCTCTTGACGCGCAGTAGCATCAGACAAGGTTCACTCACGACGTGCATAAAAAAAAAAATGTGAGCACCTCATGGCTTTCATTGGCAATGGCTCTAGTCAGATCAGCAATGATGACTTTATTGATAAGCGAGCTCTCCTGTAGTTTCAGTGCTGTCATCAATGGACTTGAAGTTGGTCGCCCTCGTCCAATCAGACAGAGCACCAAGAATATCACCTAGAGCAGCACGAAGAAAGTAGCTGTCATCACAAATCAAGTTTTACGAGCGATTTGTGGTACTCATGGTGTGGAGATTTTGTCACCAACCTCCTCGCCGGAAATGCCAAGACCACAATGTCGAAAAATTTCTCAATGTGTTTTGTGTCTTGACTTTGTTCCACAATGCATTGAGGATTTCAAGGACACCGAGAATATTCATCTCATTCTGTTGGCCAGTGCAGTGGTTTTGTGGTAATCATGGCTTAGGAAAATTTCTGTAATCGGCCCTCACTGCACGAGCGAGACCATCCCATGACTGCAGTACCAACATTGCGCTTGGCAACTTGGCACAACTCTGCCATTGCGAAGAGCAGAGGTGTTATTAGTACCAGGCAGATTTTTCTGCCGTAGATCATCAAGTCAAAGCCCCCAGGACTTGTGGGGTTGGGTGCAAGACCCCTCGTTTTCACTGTTGTGGCACCTCGGCTTCAAGCTGTGTTTTCGCGCGCAGCGGCGAGGGCGGTTGCGGGGGAGGCGGCACTGTGTCGCTCCCGTGGCCCTGCTCCTCCTCGCCCTCCTCTAGTAAGACTCCTCTCCGGACCCGAGGAATATGCGTCGCTTTTTTTGGGGGGGGAAGGGGGGGGGCTCATCGTCTTTAGACTTAATTAAAGAGCCGTGACGGACACAGCTCAAACGAGTCGGAATCCAATTTGTTACCACCACCCCCTGCGCACTGCCCGATTCTTTGTGGGTGACCCACTGCCCCTAGGCCGTAGTCGAAAGCCACGAGAGGCGAGTCCAAGCCTTATCGCTCTCTCTCTCTCTCTTTCGTGTGCTTTGCATTTTGGTGCCTTTTTTACGTTGACGTGCGGAACTAATCTGCCGCTTCGTCTGCATTATACTTCTCATGTGTGTTACTGGTGCTTGACGCCATAATATACGGTGTCGAGCAAAGAACTCGTCTCTTGCTACCACTGGCCTGAAACCCGCCATGATCGCAACTAACTGCAAACCACGCATTAGTGGTCCAGCTCTAACTGATATGGCTGCTGCGTAGTGCTAGTAGTGAGTGACTAACGCTACACTGGCGCGTGGCGCTATTCAAGGGAGGGACAGTGTCGCACGTGTGGATCTGTTTGTTACTAAGTAGCCCCTATAGACTCGAAGCACTTGCTAGAATGTTTGCCCATAGTTCATGCTTTCCCATTCAAGCTGCAAGTCACTGGAACAAACAGTGCATTCTTCTAGTACCACGGCCATTTGCTCCTTCCTATCACAGATATTTCAAGCTTGATCACTCCATTGACACCGATGACAAGCAGAACGATTCTCTGACTTCTTTGGTTTTCCTGCCTCGGGACTTGTCCTCCCAACACTCCACCATCTTCAATGGCATCATATGCCAGAACAAGGCAATCTTGTTTGCAATGAACGTGTCATGAGACTTGTGATGTTCCAGCTTTCGCTAAACTGACTACCGATGCTGTTGATATGTTGCACTGCTTTCAACGGTGAGTGATTGATGAACTATGTCTCAACACTCTTCAACACGCTGCGGCTAACCATAGCTGCTCTGAAAGTCGAGTATAGAAAGATTTGATTTCTGTTCGATGTTGGGGTTAGAGATAGGAATGTTTTATGACCCGAGAACCACTTGTCGAGGGCTTTTTCAAGACTTGTGTGCTGTGGTCCTTACTGCCATGTTCCGGAAGCAGCAAGCCTCCTCCTTCCTGCCTTGAACTAATGTTGGCCTTGTTGTTCAGTGTCATACTCAGCCTGCACCTTGGAATGCTGTGCACACTGGCAACAGCAGACTCTTTTTCTCCTCGTTCTACTTCGCTGATTATCTCCAGCTCCACAGAGTGAGCGGAGAACGCCACACACGCAGGCCAACTGAACAGTTGCGGTAAATGACGAATGACTGTGGAACGCCGGTGTCACGACAAGGAATCAAAGCCAATATTGGCTATTAGTGGGAAAGCTCATTTCCCCAAAGAAAAGCCAACTTCTTGACGCATTCAGGGCTCTCTCTATTTTTACCGTAAAATGCTGAGCAAGCGCCGCCACCGAAGCAAGCGCCCGTTCCTTTCTTCCAGAGTTCTGAAATAAACGTCAGATAAGTGCCAATGACCAATTCTCGACCGAGTAATTGCCCTCTCCCCAAATCTGAATGGACTATCCTTTACCGTTAGAGTGGTGCTTGCTTGGATTTTCACAGTAGTGTTCTATCTACTTTTTTTTGTCTACTGTATGGATAGGTCTCCATATGCATCGGCATTAAAGCATTGTTGTGTTCGAAAGTACCTTGATCAAAAGGATAATTCGATTTGCCTCCGTTTGATATAGTCTAGTGTGATTGTACATATAATGATGTTTAGGCTTACAAAATGCCAAGATAAAGTGCACGTATTGGTCCTCTTTCAAAGTGCTCTGCAGTACATCATGGAATCATATTATGTTGCATGCATATCAACAGGGAATGCGTAAAGGTGTTTTACCGGTGGGTATTCTACCATCCTGAATGCAAAAATGCATGGTGAGAGACCATATCATTTACAGCAAAAGCAAGCATTGTCTCTCTCAGTTTATCAAAGTATCGCATTTACGATTGGGAATGCCGTGTATTTTGCCTGAGCGTCTTGAAACGGCATTTCGTTTCTCGCTTGTACACTTGGGCCAACGTTTTTGCCCGTGTGGGTCGCAGATCCTGCGCGGTCGTACGGATCGAATGTTTGCATATTGAAGAGCCCCTCACCGTGCTTTGAACGTTGAGGCGAGTGTGGGTGCATAGGCCGCTCGGTGGCGACTGTGTCCGCACAAGCATGCAACGCCCGCTCGACGCGAGAGCAGCCGAGAATTTCATGGAGGTAGTCGAAAACAAAAGGCTGCACGCCCACAGGTGCTCCTTGGAGCGATGCTGACTGGGTTCCAGTGCCGAGTGCGCAAAGCAGCCTCGAGGTCAGCGACGCGCCGCAAAAAAAAAAGAAGAGACGAAAGAAGAAGAAGCAGGATCATCAACAGGGGTCTCGACGCATCGAAGGACGAAGGGAAGGTATGCAGATGCTTGCAGATGCTGTAGTCCGTTGCAACGTAGAAAAGGAGTGTCAGTTCCGTCCTCGGCCATCGCTGTCTGTCCCACGGAAAATCCAGTAGTGCTTATTCATTTTGGTGACAACGAGCGCCTTTGGAGTGTTTCGGATAGTTGACTTTTAGTTGGCTTTTTGGAAAAATACTTGCGGTTCCAGCAGAAATCATCTAGCATGACTTGTCTTTCGTAGGGGAAGGGCAGCTGCCGCCATGGGCGGAGCTGACATTTTTTTTAAGAAGTTGTAACCAACTATAGACGAGGCAAACGAGGGAACAGTGTCCTCTCCTCAAAGTGACTCTCTTCGGCTGGCGGCACAATAACTGGACAGTTCATGAATTCCTCCAACAAGTAACCGCCTCGACAGATATTCTTGATAGAATGATCCCTAGAGGTCGCCTTAGAACTCGGAGTGTGTCAGCAACACTTGTAGCGGAATCTGGTGAGGGGCTCTTTAACAGAAGTGCAAAGTGTTTCTGTAATCTTCAACTATTGGCATGGCAAGTCACAGAAAAGGCCGTTGACATTGATGGGTAACTGTACGAAGCCATGTTTGTCATCTTGCTCAAATTTCTTTCGTGTGAAACTGACCAAGAAAGAAAACTTGCGCTCGTAAATGTGAAACTTGTGCACAGGGGCAACATCTTGTAAAGGGAACACTGGCGTGTCTGACGTGTCTCATTCCTGCTCTCCCAGTAACTGCACCTGGTAACTCACGGTCGGACACACCTGTCATCATCATCAGCCTGACTACGTCCACTGCAGGACAAAGGCCTCTCCAATGTTCCGCCAGTTATCTCGGTCCTGTGCTTGCTGCTGCCAATTTATACCCGCAAACTTCTTCATCTCATCTGCCCACCTAACCTTCTGTCTCCCCCTAACCCGCTTCCTTTCTCTGGGAATCCAGTTAGTTACCCTTAATGACCAGCGGTTATCCTGTCTACGCGCTACATGCCCGGCCGATGTCCATTTCCTCTTCTTTATTTCAACTATGATATCCTTAACCCCCGTTTGTCCCCTAATTCACTCTGCTCTCTTCTTGTCTCTTAGGGTTACACCTACCATTTTTCTTTCCATGGCACGCTGCATCGTCCTCAATTTAAGGTGAACCCTCTTTGTAAGTCTCTAGGTTTCTGCTCCGTAGCTAAGTACCGGCAAGATACAGCTTTTGTATACCTTCCTCTTGAGGGATAGTGGCAATCTACCTGTCATAATTTGAGAGTGCTTGCCAAATGTGCTCCACCCCATTCTTATTCTTCTAGTTACTTCAGTCTCGTGGTTCGGCTCTGCGGTTATTACGTGCCCTAAGTAGACATAGTCTTTTACAACTTCAAGTGCACTATCACCTATATTGAAGTGCTGCTCCTTTTCCGAGGTTGTTGTACATTACTTTCGTTTTCTGCAGATTAATTTTAAGACCCACCTTCCTGCTCTCCTTGTCTAACTCCGTAATCATGAGTTGCAATTCGTCCCCTGAGTTACTCAGCAATGCAATGTCATCGGCGAAGCGCAGGTTAATACGGTATTCTCCATTAACTCTTATCCCTAACTGTTCCAATTCTATGCTTCTGAAAACCTCCTGTAAGCACGCGGTAAATAGCATTGGGGAGATTGTGTCCCCCTGCCTTACACCCTTCTTGATTGGTATTCTGTTGCTTTCTTTATGAAGCACTATGGTAGCAGTTGATCCCCTGTAGATTTCTTCCAGAATGTTTATATATACTTCATCTACGCCCTGATTCCGCAGTGTTTGCATGACGGCTGATATTTCTACTGAATCAAATGCCTTCTCGTAATCTATGAAGGCTATGTATAGTGGTTGGTTATACTCTGAGCATTTCTCTATTACCTGATTGATAGTATGATTGTGGTCAATTGTTGAGTAGCCTGTTCGAAATCCTGCTTGTTCCTTTGGTTGATTGAATTCTAATGTTTTATTTACTCTGTTAGCAATTACCTTTGTAAATAGCTTGTATACTACTGAGAGCAAGCTGATCGGCCTGTAATTCTTCAAGTCCTTGTCATCTCCTTTCTTATGTATTAAGATGATGTTAGCGTTCTTCCAAGACTCTGGTACTCTTCCCGTCAGGCGACACCTCGTAAACAGGGTGGCTAGTTTTTCTAACACAATCTGTCCTCCATCTTTCAGCAGATCTGATGTTACCTGATCCTCACCAACAGCTTTGCCTCTTTGCATGCTCTCTAAAAATTTTCTGACTTCTTCTATCATTACTGGTGGGGTGTCATCTGGGTTACTGCTAGTTCTTATAGTATTAAGGTCGTGGTTGTCTCGGCTACTGTACAGATCTCTATAAAACTCCTCCGCTATTTTAATTATCCTATCCATATTGGTAGTTATTTTGCCTTCTTTGTCCCTTAGTGCATTCATCCGACTTTTGCCTATCCCAAGTTTCTTTTTCACTGCTTTGACGCTTCCTCCGTTTTTCAGAGCGTGTTCAATTCTCTCCATGTTATGCCTTCTTACATCGCATACCTTACATCTATTAATCAACACCTGGACACACCTGTACGGTGCATTAACTGCACTACTTCAGTTAGGGCACCAGCAATATCAGAGATGCACGTTTGAGTGTTCCTTTCAACACATTACTGTACTGTATACTTATGTTGAATTTCAATGGCAGGGTCTGAGTGGATTTGTGTCAGTGAGAGAGAAAGGGTGAGAGTAAAATATTTCATTGAGAGAGTCTGAGTTGGTTCAGAGCTGGAGTCGCTCTGAAGAGCAGAAAAGGTTGCTTCTTGAAAATTGGTGGAGGTTACTCGAACAATGTGCGCTGTGCTTCCACATGGTACTAACCAGACACGACTTGTAGGGCTGCGAGTGAACAGAGTAAAAGAATGGCTAGGTATCCAGGGTAACTTTTCTTCTGGAAGGTAGAATTTGTAATTTTGCTTCTATGTTGTGTTCCGGTTTAGAATTATTTTGGGGTTGCTCTTCACAAAAGTTGAAAGCTGGCTCAGAGTAGGCCTGGCACTCCGAATCCGCCACTGGAATTCAATGCTGCTCATAAACACGGGAGGAATACGAGACGCAATGACTATATTGTGTAACAAAGTTTGACTATAGCTGCGAAGATCGTGTAGTGTCATTGTGGATTGTCGTAACGCGCGACTCTCATCCGCAGCGACTGGTGCGCACATTGTTCCTGGCGGCGTGTTCCCGCCTCCGCCGGCGGCATCTGAACTGATGATGAGACTGCCGCCAGCCTCAATGTTTCATGGTGAGTGCCTTCGCTGATTTAGTGGTGCTTTGTTGTCGGCATTCGTTCGAATGCAGTTGATTGCACCGAAAAATCATTCTCGCAATCTTGCACAGATTGCACAGTTGATTTCACAGAGCACCTATGGTGTCTATGTGTGCTTCTTTCTCTATGAGGTTATTCATTTGTCGCCGACGTTGACTATTTAATCAAGACATGTACCAGTGTTTTTCGTCATTCTGGTTTTTTTTTCATGCGGAATGCCTAGATCAATTTTAGCCTCGGAAAAATTGTAAGCTACGACGACAGCCATTGCTGTGCCACCTGAAGGGAATTTGCATATATGATGCGTGCAATTGTATTGGCTTATTTTCATGATACGCAGCACTTTTGCACCCTTGAAAGTACTGGTTTTGCTATGCAGATACGTGTTAGCATTGCTGCCTTTGTGTCTAAAATATCAACGTGACCGAATGCAGTTTAAGGCCCAAGTGCCATCAAAAGCACCTCGTAAACTGCCCATCTTATTGCCGCAGTGTACGCTTTCACCTGCAATCTGATTCATCAGAGATGTGGCGGTGCTGCAATATTGAAATACTGAGTCTATTATCCTCAAATGTAAGGATTGGAAATGACCTTTGGGATGATGATGCTGACCCTCGTCTTCTGCGCACTAAAATAAACCAGGCTACACTCAAACGTCAATATAACGAACCTGGGTATAATGAAGTAAACGAAGACTAGTCTTGCAATATATGTAGTAGTAGGAATATACCTTTATAACAAATTTTTGGACATAAGGAACTCATTTTCGTGTGGGATGCAAATTCGTTATAACGAAGTTGAAGTGTGCATTCGGGCATTCATTTGCAGGGCAATCTACTGGTGCTGCAAGCGAAGCTTGCGGCCAATGATGGCCCACTTTATCAGAAGCGAGAAGTGTTGGGGAACGTTTTCCCGACTTCAACCGTATTTCTTCGTTCTCTCTCTCCTCCACCAGGGTCCCTTTGCGGCAGTTGATGAGTTGATGGAGGTCTTTCGGACCATGAACCTTCCTGAGAAACGTGAGCGGCTTCACTTATTAGTGTATAGTTGTTGTCGGTGTATTACCGAACAAGTACAGTAGGCCTTCAGTAAACGGAAATCTGTTAAACGGAACTTCTGCCTAATCGGAACAGCTGCCTCCGGCCAAATTGGTTCCGTGCTTGTGTTTTGCACCCCTGGTCATTTCTCTGTAAAAGGAACTCCTCCTAGATGGAACATACTTTCCCGGTCCCTTCAGGTTCCGTTTAGTTAGAGTTTACTTAGTGGTTACTGATGCGTGTCCTGTGTATAAAGTACGTCACTAGCTGTTCCCTCTGCGCTCTCACTATCCAGACGTGTGGGGGCAAATTCAGACATCTTGTTTAGTTGATAAATATGCGCAGCTGTAACTGTGCTTGTTTTTTGTAACTTGGCCAAGTTTTTTTTATTCGGGAACTGCTGCTTTGTTATATTTAGAGGGGTCCTAAATTAGCTTTACATGGGATCATCGAAGATCCTCAGTACTGAAAATCACTGACCTCGTAAATCGATAGCGGAAAAAAGTTTTCTAATTTGTCTGAAAAGAGCGAAGTCACACGAATTGGTTGTGCAGTTCAAGCAGCTAAGGAATGCGGCACCCTCACGTGGTGGCATCTCATAGCAAGAAGTGCATCTATTCCGAAAGCCACTCTTGATTTATGTCATCCGTTGGCCAATATCATGCTGTCTGCTGTTCAACCTCGAACAGCAGACACCAGCAGTTGTGAGGGCCGTGGGCTTAGATTTGGGTGCACGCTAAAGAACCCCAAGTGGTCGCAATTTCCGGAGCCCTCCACTGTGGCATCTCTCATAATCATATGGTGGTTTTGGGACGTTAAACCTCACATATCAATCAATCAATCAACCAGCAGTTGTGAAGAGAGCAAGCACGGGTCTCTGTATGAAACGGAGACGCTTGAGAGAACGGCAACTTCTGTACTCTACTTGTAAACTCTGCGTGCCTCATGAAAGATTCGGCAACGCTGTTCATTAAAGTGTCTGCTGCCTGCAGACTGTTCTTTTTTACCAAGCAGTTGTGAGGGCCGTGGTCTCAAATTTGGGCGCACGCTAAAGAACCCCAAGTGGTCGCAATTTCCGGAGCCCTCCACTGCGGCATTTCTCATAATCATATGGTGGTTTTGGAATGTTAAACCCCACATATCAATCAATCAACCAGCAGTTGTGAAGAGAGCAAGCACGGGTCTCTGTATGATACGGAGACGCTTGAGAGAACGGCAACTTTTGTACTCTACTTGTAAACTCTGCGTGCCTCATGAAAGATTCGGCAACGCTGCTCATTAAAGTGTCTGCTGCCTGCAGACTGCTCTTTTTTACCAAGCCCACGGGAAGGGGGTAGAATTTGATGGCATGAGCTCTGGCCCTAGGTGGTGATATTTTTCAAGGGCTTTTGCATTTATTAGTCAACTTGCTAACATTGTTGTTATTGTTGTTGGTAATGACCTGGTTGTCAATGCCTTTTCTCGACAGCCCCCCGCCCGGTCGAGAATGGCGTCTCAAAGGAACACCTCAAGCTCTTCGAGCACAGTCAAACGGGTGGCCCGCAGTCCGGCAACCCTGGTGGCGGAGGAGGCGTCAAGCGCAAGCACCGCGACGGTGCCGCCACTGGTGGTGGCGGCGGCACCAACGCGGGCGGCGGAGGTGCCGAGGAGAGCGAAGAGGAGGATGGGGGTCTAGCGCCACCTGTGCACGACATCTATCGATCGCGGCAACAGAAAAAGGTGCGCTGAGGCGGTGGGAAGGCCGTTGCATGTGCCTCTGCAGTGTCATGCCGGTGGCAGGGGGTGTGACATTCATCGGCATTGTGACGGAGAATGCGCTAGCGTGCGGCAGAAAGTGTTGATGACCAGCTGCTGCACTTTGGGTGGGATGTTTGAGCGGAAGAGTGGCTTGCATCCGGAAGTGAAACATCCTCTTTTTGGATTTGACTTCAACTGCAGCGCGTCGTCTGTGTCAGATGTGACAGTCTGTCGCATGCCAGCGAGTTCTCACTCACATGACTCGTAGTAGCCCACTCATCAAAACTAAAACACACGTGCCCAAATTTGGATGATCGCATTGGTAATTGAGTCAAACGAAGTTCAGGGTTTTTTTTTATACGCAACATGTCGCATTCCTGCCTTGCATGTGCAGATCATCTCGTTACAATGTAGGTCATCTTCTACTCTTTGTTGCGTGTACTTGCATTCGTTTTGTGACCGGGGATGCTACTGTTCCTAACACTGTCAGATTCTGCCACATTGCCAAATCCATCCTCTTGACACCTCTGATTGTCTTATAGGGTAGGTACACATTTATTGATTTTCTCGAAGCATCCAACATTTCTGGATTTTGGCAACGTGGGAGAGTTCAACTGCAAAACAGCGGGTTATTGTGCTCCAGGCTAACGTTTTTGTATTACAGCATGCTAGCGTTGCAAAAAAAAAGTGCTGTAATTAACATCTTTGCTTGTGTTGAAGCTTCCCGCTAATATGTCATCGTCATTGATATCATAACAATCTTTTAATAATTAAGAGGCCTCCCACGCTGTGTCGCATAAACAACGAATGAGAATTTCACTGAGACATGGCGGGCAACAAAAAGTAGAAGTGAGACAAGTTGTTAGTACAAACATCAGCAAGAATGGTCAAATATAAACTAACTTGAAAGCAGTGCTCGAGTGTTGAAAAAAGGAAAAACGACACCTTTAGATAAGTGCCGTGAGCTTTTGAACCTTTCGCCAAGAAAAGAGGTCAGCGTACTTTTACCGTCCTCTGCGCTTTTGCCAACTTGTGTGCGGCCATGGATCTCAGTCGTGGGGCCTCCTGTCTCGCTTTTTGTAGCTATCATTCATGCAGCCGAATTCAGGCACGCTTCAAGTCCCACAGTGTTGAGAAGTTTTACAGCGATGTCTTCACATCCTGAAGTATTTTTGTTAGCTCACCATTGTCATTAATGTCTAACTCAACGAACATGTGTATGCGCACGCATGTGGTGAGTTGTGTATGGGAGTACGATTCTAACAAAACTGTGTGAAGATGTTTGTGTTTGTGGTGTGTGTTACTTTTAACCATATTTGTACAGCTTAGTCAACGATACTTTTCGGATTGTCTTGAAGAGCAAATGTGTCTAAGTGTCATTGCGTACTTATGTTTATTCAGAAGCTTGTAGGCCTGCGTGCAAAGTGATCATGTAGTTTCATTGTTTCTAAGGAACACGATTGCATGCAGAAATGTGGCACTAGTGCACGCAGGAGCTACAATTGTGGTGGTTCTGCCAGATGGGCCTTAGTAGCGCATAGTATATGCACACGCGTTGACATAAATTAATCTGGCTTTCAGAAAGCTTTATTGCATTGTAAATGAACTTTCTTTAACAGCATACTTGTCTTGTGATTGCCGCAGTATTTTATTATTAATGCGGGCATATTACGGCCTACCACCTTTGTGTGTATAGAAAGGTGGCAGAAAGTATAAATTTTAGTGCGTAAGAGCACAATAGCGAGTGTTAGATGGGTTAATTAATTAGCTGTAATTTTCTTTCTTCTTGTGACGTTGTGGTGGCTGGATTCGCTGCAGTAAATTTATCCAAAACTTGTCGGATGTCTTGTAAAAGCAGCATCTGTTACCTCCCAATTCAGTACGTGCTGCCGGTTTGGTTGCAGGCGTGAATAACCGGGCGAGAACACTGCGTGTGGTAACTGTACTCTTGAGGTAGTTGTTGTTAGACCTGGCTTTTAAGCTTCGTTTACCGAAAATGCAGATTTTATGCTGTGTATTTGCCAGAATGCCACATAGCCTTGGTTTCTTCCCGCCAAGCTGGATTTAACCTCAATAAATGTAATTTACTGCCTACTCTAGGTTGAAAACATTTGTTTATTTAGCAGTGTGTGCATGTATTTCCTATTCTATCCCTGCTTTTAGTGTTAACTTCCTTTCTTTGTTGACTTTTTGTCAATTTTTAAGTGCCAGTGGCTTTGGTAAATGTTATGCAGAGAGTTGGCAATTATGACCATCTACATATGCCACGTTTGTTTACATGCTGTCATTTTTTACTCTACCATTTAAAGCACACACGCTGTGCCTTTTTTTATGAATGATTTCCTGTGTATTCAGCGCTCATTGTTTTGCGCTCCTTTCAAGATAGTCGTTTCGAGTGTCCGAACGTCTCGTAGTACTAGTGTGGCTTGTATGTAGCACTACCTGCGCGCTTGCTGTTAAGTAACTTCGGTAACTTACTGCGCATTCTCGAGTTTAAGTGTTTAAGAATTGACGTCCAAGTTTCAGGTAGTTTGAAGAAACAGTCAGTGTTTCCCAACTTGTGGTGATAGTTTATTGCAAATATCTTTTATGATGACCAGTGGAATGCATCCTATTTGTTTTAGTTTTTTTCGAACTAATGCTTTCTTTCTTTGCTGTGGGCAATTTACTGTACGTTGCTTGTGAACCGACACGTTACGAGAGTTCCTTCTCTGAGCCTCTTGCGTAACCTCTGTGCCGTCTAAACGACATTGCAGCTTACTTCAAGGTAGCGGTAAAGAGTTCAAACGCTAGAGAACATGTCATTTTTCACTCTGCATCAATGTAAAGTTGAGGCTACGCAGCTATCAGTTCGTTCAACGCGATGTCAAGTTTCCGTAACTCTCGCACACGTTTCGGATTGCCTAATGCTATCTTTATTTCACTAGCAGTAGCCTTTACTGGTAGTACGTATGTGCGTAAAGCACAGGTGTTTTTGAGAAACGCATAGCGCTTTGTTGTTAGTATTGTCTCTGTGTCACCAATGCTTTATCTTAATGGCGAGAATTACGAAAAGAAAATGACAACATGACATCAAAGTCTTTTTTTCTTTCATTCAGGCTGTTGCTCACCCATATATTTATGTATATGTAGGTTATGCAATTGTTTTAGCTGTTTAAGTGACTTTAGGTATGTCACTTCAATATTATGTGTGAAGAAGAGCACTGCAGATGGCATTGATGAAGTATTCTGATGAAAGCGTCCAACTCTCGAAGCACTAGTCTAGCTGTTCATTATCATAACTGACAATGTAGTTAAGCTTGATTAATATCGATGGCGCTTTCCCTTCTACAAAAGCAGTTATTGAGAATCGGCAGTGTGCTGTGCTTTTGATACCGACAGTACCAAGTCTAGTAGCAGGGACTGCAACTTTAAGATATGAGGTGCGTCATCAGAATTGAGGGTTATTGTTGGGAGGAACGACACATTTTCAGGGTGCCTGCTCGTTGGGAACCTTAGTGAGAAAGAGATTACAAAAAGTTGGACGCACGGGAATAGCTAGGCGCACGTGGGAAGCTTCTGCGCAAAGCCATCATTTTATGTGGCTATGAATTGCGCATGTATGCGACGTTCGTCGCGCGTGTATTTGTAAGCCCACTTGCAACGAATTTGCAAGTATTTTAAGCTCGTCCTAAATGCAATGTCTCCGTGTTTTGCCCTCTGATCGAGCCAGGACTCTCGAAATAGCTCGCACCCAAAACAACATTTGTGCCTGTAACAGTGGGCGTCAGCTAGTCATTGTAAGGAGGAATGTGTTAAGAAAGCGTCTCTCCAGTAATGCACGGTACTTAAAGAATCGGAAGATTTTGGAAACTAACCTGTAGCAGAGGAAACTTTACTGCGATTTGTCTCGACACAGGACAAGGAAGTTGGCATTTTTGTTTTCTCTTTTAAAAATATTTTGCTGAGTGATCATGCGTGTGTGGATTTCAAAAGGTGTGTTTGTTCTCTGCTTTCTCCGCAGCTCATGTTTTAGAGTGCGGGGTCGAAAAGTTGTCAGACGGTGTTGAGTGCTCATGCAAGGAATTTTGTGTCGTACGGGCGACTGCGGCGAGAGGCGTCAAGAAACTGCGCAGACCTTTCTTCTCCTCCTCCTCTCATCGCATTCTTTAGCCTTGTGTTTTTTTTTTTCTCACACTTTGAGGGACCTCTGAAAGGACTCTCTGACTTCGTTGGACACTGTGTACCATACGTATATGTGTATTCGCCCGGCTTCTTGCAGTGTGCGAATTGTGCATTTGTGTACAGATGACTGCAAAAAACATTCGCGAAGAAAGAAAAGAAGGGCGCGTAAAGAAAAGAGGTGCTGCCTTTAACGCAACTTCTATCTTGGTTGCCTAGGTGAAGAAACGAAACTAAGTTGAACTTCACTCCATATGCGTTGCATACTGTATCAGTAGTTTTCCGCATAATTTCTTATCTCTTTGGGTCATGAGGTTATGTGCAGTGTGGATGGAATTTTGATGTTCGGGTGACACAGATTTGTTTCATCACTTTCTTTCAATCTTAAATGCCTTTTAGAAGCATACTAGGGACATCTGTTACATTTGTGTCTTCTCATATGAATACAAAAAGTAAGTCTTGCGGTTGAATCATGTTATGTACCTTCTAAAGAGAGATGACAGGACGTGACATTTTTGTTCGCAACAGAAATACTTGGAGGCTAGACGTACTTTAAAGTCTCGCCTTTCCATGTCATTGGATTGGCTAGTGAAATAAATAAAAGAAAAATATGGGATATTGCGTTGAAGGCTCCACCTTTCGACATCCATCCATTGAAAGACTGCTCGTCAGCGCTTGTTATTCCATTTCAACTTTTGTAGGTGATGCGTGTTTCGTTATTGTAAATAAAACTGTGTGAGCCTTTTAAATGAGTCTGCTGCGAGTGCTCCTGGTGTTAATGAATAAAATTGCCCCCATTGGTCATCCATTTGGAGAGTGTGTCAACGGAAGAGTGCTTGTTGTTGCCGTGGTAACATATGTCACTCGTACGATCACTATGTCCTAATTGGTGATTGTGCCTTCTCCCACGTTTTTGTTCAAAAATAAAGACCGATTCTGATGATGCTGAGGGACCTGTTTCACTTCGTCCTGCCTTGAGTAAAGGCTTTGTACATTCAAACCGCATTATAACAGAGTCATACCTGCTACGAAGATAACTCAGTATCCGAAAATTTATTATAAAGATATATTTGTCGCCCCGTATCTATGAAAGAGATATTTTTAATTTACTTTGTTTTAACAGGATTATTCGTTATATCCAGGGTTCGTTATATCGAGGCATGAGTATACTCGTGTCTGCAAGCTGGCCGTGACTTTGCCCTTGTACTCAATTGTCCTGGTTTTCATAGAAGCTAAAGGGTTCGCATTGAAGGTTATCCCGTGTTTTACTGAATAGATTGAATTGTTGTTCCTTGACCAAGGAAGACACTATAAGCCTATTCCATCTTGTAAACAGCGGTAGGTGCCGTCGACACCCTGAGGCGACACTGAGGTAGTCGACACTTGCATTCATATTTGTAGCGCAAAAAGGAGAAAAAAAAACAACTAGCCCTCATCACCGTCTTGGCAGTCTACGCACTGAGCAGTGGCAACGCACCGAGGCAGTCGACACACTGAGGCAAGTGACGTGCTTCGCTTAGCCCGAAGCTCGCCACTGCCATCTATGAACACATGACAACTGGCCCATGAGGCTGCCCCTCAGCCTAAAAATTCTGGCGCTACCTTTGAAGGCATTATACAGTTCACTGATTCTTCCTGGCAACTCCTTTGACAAAGTGCTGGAAGTTCTTCCTTTAGCAAGGGAGGTAGAAGTGAACCTTTGGTCGAGCGTATTAATGCAGTTAATTTGATGTTTTAGGGAACGTATGCACCCCAGAGCTTGCAAGTGGGCCTTGAGATTGTGCAGTCATGCTTTGAATATGACACCATTCTCCACTGTGATTGTTAAATGGCAGCTACATCTGTGGACGCGTTTGGAATGTCTCTCCCTGCTCTGGCTTTTTGTATTCGAGATGAAACTCCGTGTAAAAGTAAAGTCTACACTAATGGAAGTCCTCGCTGCACATAGCTCCAAACTTCGCTTCTTTTGAGCTGTCCCTAAGTCGCACAAAGGCTGCCGTCGTAATTACTACCGCTCTACTTACTCGCAAGACGGGCTTTAATTGCAGTAGTTTCAGTCTAGCTACACATTTCACATAAACATCAAACTTGTCTTGCAGAGTCATGCCTCAAGTGTGGAACGCCGTAATAAGGAATGGTGGCCAAATCAAGAGGTTGTGATGACAAATTGAAGAGAACCAACTAATGTGATGTCGATTAACTTATCGCTAATTTGCTTGAGTAAGTTTCTTTGACATTTACAAATAAAGATTCCTGCTTATACAGCAGCTCGCTGTAGAACAGTAGCCAAAGTGTCCGATATAAACTCATTAACATGACATAATTGATGCAACATATGAAGTAATCATATGGTTTTTAACTAACCACTAAGTAACAAGTAGAAGGATTGTATATTATGCTTGTTAATGTGATTTAAAGTATCCAACTAACCTGTCTTAGAGTGGGTTATCATGATTTTGTTACCCTTGCCATTTTCTGCGAAAAATTACGAAAAGAAATTTCCCATACAGAATATTTTACCGACCTGTCTCGGCAAGAATACTGAATTGCTGTAAGAGTAGTTCCAAGTTTATCAGGATGACCTGCCACAGCTTGTTACAAAGCTATTGATTCTTAAGGGAAGTCGCAGGTTCGGATCCTGCCTACGCCAAGTTATCTTTTCATCTACTTTTCTTTCGTCACACTTACATTACAATTACTGCTGATAGAATCCCCTATACTTTCCTTGTCGTAATTGTCCTGTCATTTCTCATCTAATATTGTGTCTAACAAAGAAAACAAGCCCTTAAGTTTACCCTCGTTACCTCATGTTGCTTGGTGTCACGCAGGCCAGACTCGCTTAGCATGGCATATATATGGTACCGGACTCATAGGTGGGGAAGGAAAGTGACGATGAGAGAAAAGAAGAAAGGTAGAGAGCGCCACTGCGTCACAGATGCGAGTTTCTTTTCCCGCTCTGCAAGCTGCATGTTCGGAACATAACAAGCATGGGCCGAGGGTGGCGTGCTTGGTTACCTAAGAGAGGGGAGGGCGCAGAGAAGGGTGCTAGGGTGGAGCGCGGCTATGAATTTTTGGCCTCCCTCCGAACGCAAGCGTCGCCAAAGGACAGGCTCATCACTCCACCGAATTTTTTTTAAGTTGAGCGCAACTGCAGAGAATTTCGTTCTAGTACTGGACTTATACGGCAGTGATCGTGCTCTAAACTCGTGGTGAGCTCACGGAGGCAGTTGTTTCCTTCCTCCATGTGGTGAGCTGCGCCGCCGTAACGTTAAAATTTAGCGCGACAAGAAAAAAATGACGTCATCAAGACTTGCGTAGCACAATCCTTGACGTCAGGTGGTAGAGCGTCGGCTGCTGCCTCCTACCGGAGGCGGCCCGCGCCAGCGCGCATCGCGCGCGTGTGGACCAGACAAGTTCTGACTGTCGTCCGCGATGGGATACGAGCTGTGAACCGTGTTTTTGAAGTGTGGTGAATGTTGGTGCTGCCCCTCTGCCGCTTGGATTTTTCTCGCACGCTGCTCCGCATCGGACATACGTGATTTCTCGTCGGCCCGCTCGGCACTTTGCACTTGGGAGACTGCAACAGGTGAGTTTCGAGCCATTGTCCACCACGCCGAGTTGATTAGAAAAGCGCGCTCGGTCGTTTGACGTGCGAATGCTGCGCGTTCAGCGGCAGCGCCAAAGTTTGAAACACCTCGGAACCGGTAAGCGTGCCATGACGGACACAACGAAAGCGACCGCACCGAGTGCTTGTCAATAGCTTTAGCAACTAACCCGGACCCAGACTCCAGTCGAAACACCTGTCAGCGCGAAGGACACATTTTGACTTCTTCGCCGTTCTTGCTAGTAGGTGTCGACCCCCCCCCCCCCCCCCCCCTCCGATTCTCGCCAGACGAACATTTACATAATGGGCGAACGGCGCGAAGTTTTATCGTGAACGTAGTAGAAAAGACGGACGAGGCGCCGGCCATACCACATGACCGAGGCTTTTCCTAAACACTGCGCTGTTACTGAACGTGGCGATAGGAGCACCCAAACTAAAAGCCCTGCAGACCGTTTTGACAATTAACTAATTCATTATGTTCTCCATGTCTTCATAAGTAGTTAATTTTGGGTGAGTTGGTTCATTGTGCAGCGAAGGCGTGAACTCCACGTCTGGTGTTTGACTAGCTCAGGATAGATTTTCTTCTGTTGATGCAAAATCACCGCTCCGTATCTTACAGAAGGAGCCTTCTTGGAATACGCCGTCTTTGAGAGAGTGAAATTTGGCGTTGTCTGGATAATTTCGATCCCATACAAAACGGGTTACTCTTTAGATCTGTACTTCACGTCAGGGTGCTAATGTAAAGCGTCCGGCAGTTTTGGTAATGCAGTACCGGCAGTTTCTGTTTAGGAAAAGAAATAAGACAATGACACTATAACTTGGTGGTATTAGTAATAATATTCATCGGCATGGGAGGAGTAAAATAGGCTGGGAACATCTTCTTTCATTGTACACCACTCCATCTCAAATTGGCATGCTTCCTTACGAAAACATGCATAGCCGAAGTTATGAAGACACGAAGCAAGAATATTATGTGTCATTACAACCAGGGCGCGTAGTTATGATGTTAACGGACTTCTGCAGCTAAAAAAAAAAAAGCGATGGCGACGTTAGTTTTCTTTTTAGTGGAACTGGTGCATACATTCGCCGATCCGGTTGTAATGAACCTGTGCGATGGTCGTGCAGTGAGAACATGGTTGGTCCAGTGCAGCAGCGAATCTTTCTTTTCTCTCGCGTTGTGTTACTTCGGGTGATTGCAAAGCTGCTGACGTGACGAAATGTCACGAGTGGAGGCGCGCGCATTCCATATTTGGTGGGGGGGGGGGAAGAGGGGGGAGGTATTGCAGTTGTGTAGACAAGCATCGTGTTTCTAGTAGTCGCGTAACGTTATAGTTTTTTTTTTTTAGAAAGGAAATGTTTTTAGTGTTTCCTGCTAGACGATTCCCTGTACTTTTTTTTAGGGGTAAGGGGACGGGTGGGTGGTTAAACAACTTTATGCGTGTTGGTACGCGTTCTGGCATACACAAGGGTAGAAGTATATGATCAAGCTACTGTTTTCTTTTTTACACGCATTTGTGTCTGCTGACGCATGAAAACGCACGCAAGAACGTGCATAGATGGAAGGTAGTGTTGCCTTGTGTGTGTTCGACCAGAAGAGTAGTTGGTTATCCTTGCGAAGTTCCTCTCGTGAGAGCGTGGGCGACGAAGGCGTGCTGTCCCTGACCCTGTCTTGGAGGAATTTCGATGTTTTAATTAGGCCTATGCCGCATCCAGACGCAAATATATGCCCCCCCCCCCTTTTTTTTTTATGGGGGCTAAATGTCGTGGTTGAATTGTAATCATGTAGGCGTTTTTGGCTACGCCATGTTTGCAGCGTTGTTATTGCGAGGAAAGGAAACGACGTCGTTGTTTTGAAGCTTTCTTTTCCCACAAAGAAAACTTAAAAGTTAGCAGAGCAGGATCGATAAAGCTGACAGAATGGACAAAACGCAGTTTCTAAGAGATGCACTGGCGAGACGAGGTTGGTTCGTGGGCTCCAGCGCTGCAAGACAGTGTGGGACAAAATCGCAAAGATGGCGTAGGCTCTGCGCCGATATCTTCGTTGGTATCTCATTTACCATGTTCCCTTCTTTCGTGCTTGTTTCCGGAATCGTCCCGGGGGCAACTGGACAGGAATCAACCCGGTCTCTTAAACGAAATAGACGAGCGAAAACTCGGGCAATGTACTATCAACAGCAAAGGCTTGCGGGACGCGAAATGTTCGATAAAACTGAATTCCCGCTTTTACTGGCAGTGTAATTCCGAAATAGATGTTCCATACTACACTTGGCTTTCCAACCTATACAGTCACCAGGTTGATTGCGAGTATTAAGCACTGATATAAATTCGCATTTGTAGTGGATCCAGCGGCCGGCAAACTTTTGCTGTTGTTAGTACGGTCTTTCACTTTGAGTGAATTTTTCGCGATGAAAATTTCGTTGTTCGTCCGAAGTTGATTTCAGCATTTCTTACCTCGAGGTATACGCGCGTGTGTGTAGCTGTATTGCAATAGGTCCGTAAGTACCGTATACACTCGATTGCAACGCGAGGGGTGACATTATGTCGCGTCCAGGAAGAATACAATTGTGGTACTCGTTTGTAAGTCGAAGACCGGAGCAGAAGTCTGAAAAACGAAAACGCGTTAAGTTCGAGTAAACACGATACCTACGAAAAGGGGGCCGGACTTCAAGCCCTGACCGATTGGGGGGGGGGGGGGGGGGGGGGCGGATTCACTGTCCCAAAAGCTCGTGCCCGACTCACCTTTACGAAGAATTCTGGGCATGCCTACGACTGCTGCGGTATGTGCAGAGGTGCAAGCTTGGTTAAGTGGGGAAGCATTCTTCGGTACGGCACCTAGAAAGCAGGACGCAGACCCGTCTGCGCATAACTTCGTGCTTTGAGCTGCACCAAAAATGTGCAAGACGCCTCGGTTCCGTGGTGGTGGGGAGCGAGTGTGCCCCCCCCCCCCCCCATCCCATCGACTTAACTGATGCCTCAGAATAAGGCCCGTAGCGAGGAATTCTTCTTCTGGGAAAGGGTGGGGGGGGCATTTGCTGAAGAAAACTACATGTAACACAGATTGTTGCGGGCCAGTCGGTACATGCTGAACGCGAAGTGGCGCTGTTGCATGTCTGCTTCTGGTAACATTTGGTCACGTCTAGACGCGCTGTTTCACGTTCAGTCTTTCAATTGCTTTCGGTAAAGCGCAAACCTCCATTATAGAATCGGGGAAAAGGAATGCGAAAGGGGGTTCTTTCCCTTACAGGCCTGCTCTGCACATATGCGTAGCACTTTCCAAATAAACTGTCCCCAACAAACAAGTTTTTGTGTGCAAAGCGGCCGCACATCCAGAAGATAGGACAATCAAGTTGACCTCTGCACTATACTAATAATCACAGAGCGCGCGAAATTAACTCGCGCCTGCTTCCCACGGAACGCGCGCAGTTTCTATGGAAGGGCTGGCAAAAATGTTACCTGTTGACCGTTTGCCGCCGTCCTTCGATGCGACTCGTTTCCGCAACGAGTGACATTGAAGATTTTACAAACCTTCAGTGTCACTCTCGTCGTACACACATCAGTTGCATATATAACAGCTGGACCATTCGTTAGAAGCGTTGGGCCGGCCTGTCCATTCTCGGTGACCACGTGTTTTTTTTTTTCTCCTTTCCGTACCGCTTAGCGATCGACCGACGTTCTGTTGGAAACCAATCGCTTTTACGCGCTCATTTGACTACGAGCCGGCAGTTTTCCAAGTGCGCCTTGCCACGCACGGGCGATATGCACGGACACTTCGGTATGTCGCCTGCGTAGATCTCGTATCTACGCGTGATCAAGTATGTGTCTTCAGTCTGCTAGACTGACTGAAAAGCACCGCATGTGCTCCTGTAAGAGCAGTGCTGCCACTGGTTGGACCATTTGCCGTGGTTTTTTTTTTGTTGTTTGTTTAGGGACGAAGCTGCTTAAACCGTGGTTCGTGCGTCCTCGATGCAAGGTTAGGTGTTTAGTTCTCAGAATGTCCGCTAGATGGTAGTACTTGTATATGATGGAAATATGTGAGATGACATTACTTTGAGTGTTCATTAGATGAAATATTCACGGTTTACCGAAAAACCCTCCGAAACTTCGCCCCACTCATCACATCATCATCATGGCCCCGCCGCGGTAGTCTAGTGGCTAAGGTACTGGGCTGCTGACGCCGCAGGTCGCTGGATCGAATCCCGGCTGTGGTGGCTGTATTTCCGATGGAGGCGGAAATGTTGTAGGCCCGTGTGCTCGGAGTTGGGCGCATGTTAAAGAACCCGAGGTGGTCAAAAATTTCCGGAGCCCTCCACTACGGCGTCTGTCATAATCATATGGTGGTTTTGGGACGTTAAACCCCACATATCATATCAATCATCATCACATCATCATTCACTTCGTGGATATGCTGTTTCAAAGGCGATAGTCTCTCTTGGGATGTGTGTGTTTAGGAGAAGTGCTTAACGATTTAGAGTACTTTGTACTTCACTATGGGAGAGCGCAAAGCCGTCCTAGTTGAAAAGAAGTTGTGGTTAGAAAAAGTAGGAAACGATTTAGAGCGTGTTCAGAAAAACTGGTTAATGATTTAGAGCACTTGGTACTCTACTATGGGAGAGCTTAACGCCGTCCCGTGGGCCTCAGCACAAGAACGCTAAAAGTTCTGTTCTTTGTCACTTGTGTTTAGAGAAATTTTGCTTAAGTGCATAAATCGTGGTGTCTGTCACACGAAACAACTCAGCTACCCGGCCAATGGTTAACCACTTGCTGAACGCCCGGCCATTTTAAAGTGGTGGCTGCGTTCATACTTGTGAATATCGTCGATCTAAGAGCAGATAGTACGCACATCCGTGGTGCACTTTAAATACGCAAGTATTAGGTGGTGTGTTCCTTTATTAGAAAACACATCTATACACAATCGTTAAGACGCTAGTGTTTCTTACGTCGCGCTGAAAATGCGACGCTATGCACGAAAGAAGGCCGGAAGA